TTTTGGAAATGCCACATTGCTTTGTCATTTGCATTATTTGTTGCCGCACGACCATATAAATGAGGAGGCCCCTAACAGTTCCAGGTTTAAACCAACTTCACTTCGAGTATATTCCACTACACCTAACATTCTGTAGAGAGATTATTTTGACAACTTAATGTAATTGATAAGGCTGAGACAACTAAGGAAAAATCAAACTTACACTGTAATGGATATACCTCCCTTTGAAGTTAGGACGTGTCTTCCCAACAAACAGATTTTTTTTCAGATAAAATCCTAGATTATGCATTACACTGATGAAATCGCGGAAGTGTTTAACTACAAAGGATCTACCAAAACTATTTTAATACTATATAAAGGTTCTTCCAAAATACGTTCCAAAATATTCTCAATATATGTATAATTTCACTCAATTTATCGCAGTTAGATGAATTTAGCGTGAGCCTTGAAAGTACCTAACCGTCGATTTCGACGGGTTTCACCTAGTTTACATAAAAACACTAGGTACTTTCCTGTTAAAGGGAACATTCATTATGATCGATGATTTTTTTCTCGATATATCGATATTTTTGTTTACCGATCCATTACAAATTGACAACTGATCTTGTTTAGGCTAAAATAGTCTATTATATGGATTAAGAAATGAAACTGTTCTAAGCTAACCTAACACAACCAACCAAACTTGCTGTACTATTTAAAATTCCTTTTGATAACAGAAAAGGCAAGTTAACATTGAATGTTACATAGCAAGTTTGGTTAGTTATGTTAGGTTATTTTTTTAGAACAGTTTCATTTCATGATTGTTTGTTGATACCGAACAATATTTATCGTAGTTGTCAGCTGATATGTTTCAATTTGTTAATATCGAGAAATCGAGAAAAAAATCATCGATACTAATGAATGTTCCCTTTAACAGGAAAGTACCAAACACTATAAAAACCATTAAAAAATACTTATCTACATATAACAGAGTAGGAAGTTGTTTGCAACTGTCATAAATCAAACTACCGTCAAAGAGATCAACAGATGTCGATGGCATGTCTGTGTGGCTTCTCAAGCAACTGTCTGAGCATATATGTCCATTGACGGAAGCAGTCAATGCCTCTTTTAAGAGTGGGTGTTTCCCTGAAGATCTGAAAAGGGCAAAAGTTATTCCAATCTTTAAAAAGGGGGACCCACTCAATGCCAACAACTACCATCCCATATCTCTCATGCCTGTGTTTAGCAAAATCTTTGAAAAACTGTTCTTGATTCAGTTGTTAGCATTCCTCAATCATCTCATTTTTTTTCATTTGATCATTTCGGGTTCAGAAGGGGGATATGTTCAGTGGATGCAGTGTATAGCCTTGTCAGTAAGGTAATTGAGAATCTGGACAAGCATCACCCGACACTTAGTATCTTTCTAGATCTTACTGAGGCTTTTGACTGCGTCGACCACAGTATCCTTTTGTCAAAATTAGAACACTATGGTGTTCGAGGTGTTCCGTTGCATTGGATAAAAAAATCTTACCTTTCAAACAGAGCTCAACATGTGCAGGTCTCAAATCATCTGTAAAAACCAGCTCTGTTAAATTATGGTGTCCCGCAGGAATCCGACTCTTTTGGTCCAATTATTTATTTTTGATTTACGTTAACGATCTGTCTTCAGCATTTGGATCTAGCAAATTGGCTCAGTATGCTGATGATACGACTCTCTGTTGCAGTGCCAACAATCTTCCAAATCTAGAAATCAAAACTTTTGTAGATCTAAATTCATGTGTTCAATTTTTTGAAAACATCAATGTGAAAATAAATTCTCAAAAAACAAATTTCATCCGTTTTCACAGGCACGGTGAACAATATAGGTTGGCCCAAAAAAGGTCCCGAGCAGCCTCAACCTTGCCCTCTCAGACGGGGGTGAGATTTTTGAATAGCCTTCCTGAACAAATAAGGAAAGAATGGAATGAACAAAAACGGTTCAAACTGATTTTAAAAAGATATCTGATTAATAAAGAATATTACACTGTGGGTGAGTTTTTTTGACATAAATGAGTATGGTGTTTGGCTGCTCTGAGGTTCTAAATCAATCAAATTATAAGTTCTGTGTAATTGTTTAATGATGAGTATTTTTAATTGTTTTATGCTGTTGTATTTATTTGTTTTGCTGTCACTTGTTATGTCTGTATTAAATGTTGACAAATGCCATGCAATTTTTTATTTGTTTCGGTGCAATAAAGATATTATTATTATCATACATAATCAGTCATGTGTATAACTGTCTATAATACATATCCCCATTTATCGCTTAATATTCTTTTATATTTAAATTTCTACGTTAGAAATTGCCGCTGATGATACTTTTAATGTTCCTAATCCTGATAGCTTTGAGTAATTTTGGTCAGATTTTAGTTAGGACAGGAAAAACTTGAATGAGTTTGCAAACCACCAAGAGCTTACCATGTTATAGAGTTTTAAAATTTCTTAAAATTTCATATTTTACATTTTTATCCTTAAAACATGGAAATGCCGAATTTTTATTACAACTATCATTTAGACCTGAAAAAATATACCCAAATATTTTTTTCATACCTAAGTGTTGTTGTGCAATTGAAGCGGTGGTGAGGTTAAATAGCAAAACATTCCAGTGAATCTATAAATTTTGGGGAAACAAATAAAACTACATAGCAACCAAACTGCAGCTGTAAAAAGTACACCATTGCAAAGTTAATTAAAGTCAAGGCATATGACCATTGTAATAAAATAATAAACAATACAAGAATACACAAATAAAAACCATGTTATAAATTTTAAGTATAGTTGTTCCACAAGATCTATCAAGCAAGAGTTCAAAATTTCAGTTTTTATTACCATCTTGGAGTTCTATCATTAATTAAAAAGTGTGATACAACATTTTACAGAATATTTACTTGTGATGCAAACAATGGCCATGGATTATCAACCACAGGATTCTCAGTCGAATCTCACACCCACTCAGGTTCCTGAACTTGGTTCTAACTTAGGTAAAGGTGTCTGGTTGAAGAGGAGAATTGTAAAAGTTACTTATCCCAGAGAAGGAATGGGACGTTCAATTGAAGATGGACATGGTCCATTCCTGGGCACGGACGAGGAAAATGTTCCTAATCCAAAACAAATTCAAGTACTGATCAAAGGTCTAAAAGAAAAACTGCAGCTCATTCAGGAGAGATTACAAGGTGGACCAGTTGGTGGCTTAGATCAACTTGAGCCTGTTGGTTCAAATATTAACATGGAGAAGGCTTTTGCGCCAACAATGACAATGAAAAAAAATAAGTCTGACAAAAGGAGACAAAAGGACGTGGCTAAAATATTAGCTTTCTTCGCTGCAGGCGGATTACATCAACAAACCACTACTCCTGACAACAACATGGGACAACAGGGATATCCAGCAATGACAAGGGCAGCGTTTGGTATGAGACATGTCAGATTACATGGTGGACCAGATGATGGCTTTGATCAACTTGACAATAGACAATAAACAAAATCTTTATTAAAATATTCCTAGAGAACATTCATGCGTCAGGTACATAAAATGTACAGTATGTACGTAAGTCGTAAACTATTACAGTAATTTGCAATTACAATTAGAATTTTTTTTTCTTTTTTTTCTTATTTTTTTCATGGTAGCTTATTGTTTAAGAATTCATCCTCAGAGTAGAACGGCCGGTCCATAAGCCATGTTGTCAGGTGCTTCTTGAGCAGATTGGGTTGTTCTCTCTTGAGGTGCTCTGGTAGGTTGTTAAAGTACAGAGCACCTTTGTAGGATGGTTTCCTCTCGTACAGACTCAATGGTGTTGTGGGAGGGAAAAATTGGCGGCATGTCGTTTGTTGTGCTGGTGTATGTCTCTGTGTCTCATTTATTTATTTATTTTATTTATTTATTCCAACGGCAATATATCACCAATTTTATATATTCACCAAAACTTATAGATTCACTGGAATGTTTTGCTATCTAACCTCACCACCACTTCAATTGCACAACAACACTTAGGTATGAAAAAAATATTTGGGTATATTTTTTCAGGTCTAGTTGTAATAACTATATAACTTTTTGCAAACAGGACAACTCTTCCCTCCTTGAAATAATAAATAAATAAATTTACTCTATTGTCTATGGTTTTATCTATGGTACAGTCTATAGTGTTGTCGGTGTTTTTTAGCATACGCGACAGCAGCATCCCAAGGAGGGAAGAGTTGTCCTGTTTGCAAAAAGTGCAGAGCTTCGCAGTTCGTTTTGTTTAGGTATATCCACGAATACTAGAAAAATATTTTTCTAGTATTCGTGGGTATATCCGTAAGTGTGAACGAGTAGCCCTTTCCGGAATGCACAATTTTAATTTCAGTTGCAGTTTTTAATACAGACAAAATGAGAGTTAAAAATGAGAAATTATAAAAAAATCTTTAATTATAAAACTAAGAAAAAATATAAAATGAATTTTTTTATTATAAAACTAAACAGTTATAACCTAACCAAACTAAACAAACTTGCTGATAATGCAAAAATGTTAGACAAAAAGTTAGTATCGAATCGAAAGCATTCGAACTTGGCACCTTAAATTTCTCAGCCTGACACACTATCCATAAAACCATAAAGAAGAAAATTGTTAGAAAATGTTATTCCTGGCCATGAAAGTTCTATCAAATATTTGCTAGCACTCTGTTTTAAGAAAACGTGTTACTAGAAATAAGGGGGGTTTCGGGTATTTTTTAACTTTTTAAGGGGTGTTAAAATAGGAAGATAATAACGTAAACGGTTATGAGTTTTCTGGGTGGTTTAGAATCAAGAACTATGATCGTATCAAATTTCAGATGCCCAGCTCGTCTGGAAGAATGTTATAGTTTGTACTACCTGATCAGTAGAGTTACACATGCGGCTGTGTATTTAATTAGATGACGCAAGTTATATACACATGTATACGTTGGCAGACTTTGGTAACAATGTGTGACGTACTTCGTGTAAGGCCAAACTCTTCTGTTCTCTCGTTCTCGCAAAACGTCGCATATGTCAAAATGGCGCCGGCTCTAGAGAACAGTGATTCAGATAGGATTACAATGAAAAAGAAGGAAGAAGTTGAAGACAAAGAAAATCTTTGGTAATTACTATATTTTTTAAGCTAATTTTTTGCTTAACAGAACAAAATAAATAGTATTAAGATACACAGAATAATTTCCTATAACAACGTTCTTCACCTAGGCTAATGAGTCATTAGTTGACCTAATATGTTAGTATAGGCTAGGCTATGTGAACATTCCCACGTATTGTTCCATGTACATAACAGTAAATGTTCAATTTTAATATGATTTTATTAGCATAAATGCCTAAATTTTTAATGGGATGTGTTGTGAAAAATAAAGGAAGTCCACTTTTTCTTAGACCCAACATATTTTATAAGTAAAAATTTAGGACCCAGACCTTAGCTTAGTCAGCTAAAAACACTTCCTGAAGTGTGAAATTGTTTGAAAAGGGTATTTAAAATGAAGTTTTGTAGGATAATAAGTTACCTAATGGGGGAAAAGCAATTCCAGTCCTAAATAATGACTAGAATTTAATAAAACTGACCCTAACCACAGTTCCTCCTAAACCTCAGTAGGCTAGGTAAGTTAAGTTTAAGTTACACCAATTTTACACAATTACACACTTCAAGAATGTTGAATTCACTAAATCGATGTGAAAAATTCACAAGGAATAAGTTATGCACTCTTAACTTATAATTTACTACTGTCTCACTCAAAGATAACCAAAACCGGCACACACAGAGAGCACCATGTCTATGGTTTGCCGATAGCAAACCAGCAACTAGCCTACAACGAAAATTAAAATCTCTTCGTCCAACGATTACATAAAATTGATTCCCACATATTTCAACAGGAATCACCCCATTTCCTACACAATGTCCGAACGTGACTTTCCGACACAATTACTTAACTTAGCCTAGAATTAAAATTAATCACAAATTTGTCATAACATACTAATTTAAATCTACACCGATTTTATTTTTAAATATGATTTCTTGTTACATATTTTATTGGTTTTTTATGGGAAAAAAACTTAGCCGTTATTTCTACAAAATTTGTATTTGTAACATTTTGTTCAGAATTTAAAGGACTACAAAATACAAAATTTGTATCAAAATCATTCCGGCCATTTTAGAGAAAATCTGATTTTTCTATATTTTATGCGTAGTTATGGGAAAATCACCATTAAAATTAGAATTAAAAAAAAAACTTTAAAAAAACGCCTGGAGACAAGTTAAGGTAGCCTATCATGAATTAGTAGGCCTACCTAGGTTTTAGGGGGGGGGGGACAAAGCATATATCCACTCAAAACTCGAAAATGTTGACGAAAACAATACTTTCTCCATACTAAGTCATGTAGGCCTATAGGGGGAGATTTGCCTATGGGGAAGCGAGCTGACGTAGTGGTTAGAGCGCAGGGCTTTAGTCCCTGAGGTCCCGGGTTCGATCCCCGCCAAATCACCAATGGATTTTATCTAGCCTAAGTGATAATGCCGTAACCCCTTAGGTCTAGCCTGAAGTAATGTGAAAAACAATCCCAGGCTCGTGCCTAGCGTCCTTGGACGAAAAAAGAAAAATAGGGGGAGAAAGTAAAAATGTATAAATGAGGTAAATGTAGGCCTACCGCTTTATTTTCATTGACCTTTCAATTGTCATCCAAAAACCAATTTAGATTTTATTTTATCATTAAATATTTGCCAGGTTGCAAGATATCCCGGCCTATCATTCTGAATCATCTAGCATGCCACATCTATATCTATATAAATAAAATTAGTGTTTTGTCTGTCTGTTACGGCCCAAGAGCCATTTTACGCGGCCTACTCCTGAAAAACTATAGCACCTAATGAGATCCAAATCATTTTAATGTATTCACTGGATTGGCGAGAGTGTCTTTAGCTATTAATATAGGGCCTAACTACTTTGTAAATAAAATTACGGACATTTAAAAAGCCAATTTTGTGCGATTTTTTGTCAAGTTTTCTCCCAATGTTTATCAAATACCGTAATCATTTATGAAATAACAAACAGCTGTTCGGATCAAGATTATTTTTTCTAGCTGTCACTGTTTACATTGAATGTTGTTTACAAATATCGCAACCATTTCAGATCACGTTTTGAATCAAATCCAAACCAAGTGAGATTAAAAATGTGTTTTCTTACATAACGGATTTAATTAATCGCATGTGTGATTTAATAATGTGTAGGTTAACCGTAAATGAAAATAGAGATTATATTTGTGTATAAAATTGTTCGTTTGATAACTGGGTAAAAGACCTTGACTCAGTGTTGTGTATGGCCGGGAACCAAAAAAGGTTTCAACTCATTGACGGCACTTCAATGGTGGTTGTATAAAGAGTAAAGTGACAACTGCAGTGGGTGATTGTAATAGAGGTTTACGGATTATGCTCAACTTGCTTCCAATGTGTCTTCTCACCGCTACGTGCTGCAATCGCTGGACCATACAGGCAATTGACTAATTGCCCATCTCTTGGGTTCGTAGGCCTAAACAATTATTCATAACCAAATTTCGACGACGGTCCTTGATACCGGTACTTTTACCAAGAATACCTACCTACTTAGGAAATAAATTTAAAACGTTCAAAAACCAAACTCAACATTGTGTGATTTGTCACATTTTCTTCTCATTTCAACATTATTTCGTGTTATCTTCAGTCCAAGCAAATATAAATATTGTTATGATAAAAGTTTGGTGACACTAAAGTATATGTACTTGTAAATTGTTTTTTTTAGGACTTCAATTTTGGCTGAGGTTCAAAAGAAAGGCAATACCAAGCTACCTTCCTGCAAACAACTGTTAGTATTGGGTGAGTTACTGCAATTGTTTTGTTTTCTTCAATTAGGAACTCATTGTAACCATAAGACATGAGCCTACCCGTAGTTAGGCTACTTAACTTAGTCTCTAGGCCAGTGCCGGATTTACCACTAGGCCGATCAGGCCGCGGCCTAGGGCCGCAAGCAAAAGGATTTTATAGCAGAGGATTGAGAATTTTTTTTTTATAAAAAAAATAACTTATTTTAAACCACCAGTTTGCCGCGATCAAAGGTGACCATAATGATGTCTCTGTGGACCGAGAGAGATGATCACGATTTTGCTGTGGCCGCAGATGACATCCCCGTGATTGCGGCCCGCGGGAGACTTTCACGATTTAGCGGCGGCCGCTGGTGACGGTGATGTATCCTCATGATCGAAGACCGCGGGAGACGTTCAAGAATTAGCCGCTGTCACGAGTGTCCATGATGATGTCTCCGTGATTGCGGCCCCCGGTAGACGTTCACGATTTAGCCGTGGCCACGGGTGATGGTGATGTATCCTCATGAACGAAGACCACGGGAGACATTCAAGAATTAGCCGCTGTCAGGCTAGTTATACACGGTCGCAAGTGTCGATGATGATGTCTCCGTGATTGCGGCCCACGGCAGATGTTCATGATTTCACCGCGGCCGCGAGTGTTGATGAAATGAAATATTATTTATTTATACAGACAAAATTTAGGGCCAAATGGTCTTTCTTACACTTAACCTGTCATAAATATAACACATATTGACATATATTTTAACAATTATATCAAGATACAAAAAAAAAATATAAATCATTTATACAGAAACGTTGGTGATGATGTCTCCGTGATCGCAGCTCACGGGAGATGTTAACGATTTCGCCATGGCTAAAGGTGTCATTGAGGATGTCCCCGTGATGGCTTCCCGAGGGGGATGTTTATGATTTCGGCACGGCCGCGGGTGACAATGATGATGGCTTTGACTTGGTTTAGGAGAGATGTCCACGATTTTATCCACGATCACGGGTGTTGTTGATGTCCTCTTGATGCATATTCACGATTACTTCCGCGATCGAAAGGAATTTTCACCACAGGAATGTTCCTCCTCCTGTGGTGAAAATTCCTTTCGATCGCGGAAGTAATCGTGAATATGCATCAAGAGGACATCATCATCAACACCCGTGATCGTGGATAAAATCGTGGACATCTCTCCTATTGTTACCTCAAGTAATTTGGCCTAGGGCCGCAAGTACCCCAAATTCGGCACTGCTCTAGGCTATAATTACTACCTATTTTATAGTCTAACCATGTATCTTTTTTTACCAATATCTATCTTGAGCTGAAGATCCGGCCTCATCAAAGATGGCCATCTGCAATGAAGCTGGAACATCTGATTACCCGATTACCTTATTCTTCGCCAAGACCAGCATGCCGGATAGGTTGAGTGTGTGGTTCCTAGATAAAAATTATCACTGATACTTTTGTAACTTACTACTGTCAGGAGTAGCCTGCAATAACAAGACATGTTGATAAGAAAGCTCTGGAAGCTTCATAACATCTGGTCCAGTGCAAGTGCTGGCCGGAGTAGGGGTGGAAGGTTCAAGAACTGATCTAAAGCCGCGTTTACACCGAAGTTTCAAACGAAAAGTTGCAAACAGTAGTTTCAAATAAAAGTTTGCAATTTTTATTTCATGGTTTTATTTCCACGTTTTATGAAAATGTGTGAAACACATCTGTTTCGTGTTTCAACGGCACATAGTGACCGAAACCAGTGTTGCAAGCAAAAGTTTGCAACTCCCCTTGATCTTTACTGACTTTAGGTAAAAACAACAATTTCTTTTGCAAACACTGAAAAACTTTTTGCAACTGAGAAATATTTTGTCTAAAAATGCCCGTTTTGAGAGATGTTTGCAATTTCTGTTTGCAACTCTTTTTTCAAACTCCGGTGTAAACGCGGCTTAACTTATGTAAGGGAGCTGCTTACACGTGGGTTTATTATATTAGCTCAAGAGTGTAGATGTACAGTGTCAAGACCTGGGGTGAATTTCAGGAATAGTTACAATGTCCCATAAAAATTATATCCAAATGTTTTTAATTTTTGATGTTTGCAAAACAAAATGGAAGTAAAAAAATTTATGATTTTGGTCTTTTTAAAATTTAACAATACTGTTTTAGTAAATAGATTTGGTTTTAATGAATTCCCAAATGTTTGGAACAGTATGGAATTTTAGTTTGGACTCCTCTCTAGGTCAATTTGTTCAAAATGAAAAATAATTAATCTTTGAAAAACTTAATTTAAATAAAGTTACCAAGGCCTATATACTAAATAAATTTATGTAAAGTAATACTCAGTGAACAGATCAAACTAAAACTTAATACTAATTGCTTCTTGTCTATAGCCTAAATATAAGTGATTTATTCGGCTACCTTTAATCAAAATCGTTTTCAGGAGATAATGAGTCAGGTAAAACTACCTTGATTGCGAAACTGCAAGGGGTTGAAGACCCCAAAAAAGGCTCTTCTTTGGAATATGCATACATTGATGTGAGAGATGAATATAGAGAAGGTAAGCTAATTTATTTCTTACGATTGTTTGGTTCTATGGAGGATTGCAAACTAACTAGGCTTCATGTTAAATATTTGTTATTGCTAAGGTTAATGTTACGCAATAAAAAATACTTAAGTTTCAATATAAATATTTTGAACCCAGACTTTAAATAATACGTACATTAAAAATCTAGACAGAAACTTACTATTGTTGTCCAATCTTATTGTATAAATAAACTTATAATATATATATATATATATTTGTAAATAAAGAAGCACATAAAATTCAAAAACAAAGAGTTTCATTCCTAACCATCTGACTCGTAAAAAAAAATGTTTGCCGTTTTAGTAAAATATTGTTACTTTTGTCATAGGTCTACAGATGGAAAGATGGATTTATTTGCTCATTAAACATTACATAAAATGCAATAGATCATGTCAATAAATAGTAGAGCATAATCAGAAAGATACATACAATCAAACTACATCAATAATACCTACAGACGACGATAATGTCTACATACTTCAGGAGATGCCTAGATTTTGCCGCGATCACGAATGATGATTATAATATTTCCGTGACCGCGAGAGACGACAATAATGTATATACTGCAGGAGATGTCCATTGGTTTTCCATGTTCGTGGAAGACTATGATGACGTTTCTGTGACCGAGCTTCCTTGATTTTTCAAAATTATCCTTAGCTGTGAAAGATTGTTTGCCATGTCACTGAGCAGGGAAGGCTCCAAACAAATTTTGTTTCTCTCAATATAAGATTAAAAAAGTAGTTGATAAGATATTATATTATATTATAGATATAAGATTAAAAAATGTGATTTTTCAAGGTGAAATATGTTTTTGAATAGGCCAAATGATAACCAGCTATCACCGTAGGTCTCATGGTAAGACCTAGAACCGATTTAATTTTTCATTTTGACGTTCCCAGAGGCCAAAAACACCATTAGTTCAAATTTATATATATACATGTATGTCCGTCCAGACGATAACTTGAGTAATTTTTTTCCGATTTTGATCAAATTTGGTTTGAAGGTGTAAGGCGGGATAAACTTGAATGAGTTCGCAAACCAGCATGATCGGACCATTGGAACGGGGTTTAACAGGGGTTTTATGGAGTAAACATGGGATTTTCCCTTCTTTTTTTTTAAAACACAAAATTTATCAATTTTTACTAAGACCTTTTTAAATAAAGAGCTTACAAATCAAATAATTTAGTATATCAAAGTGTTTTTGTACGGTGATTGGTTACGGAGAAAATTAAAAAAAATTGTTAATTTAAAATTCCCATGTTATTCTTATGGAGAATGTTATTAAATGTTGTAGTTGGCTTGTTTATGGATATATTTTGATCAAACTTGGCGGATTTATTTATTTCCTACTAAGCTATTGATATAAAAAAAACACTATTAGTTTCCCTGTAGCAGCTAACCTAGGTACTCGTTAAGCATAATATAAAAGTTAATTTAATAGATTAATTGAAAATCAATCCAGGCAAATGGAAATTCGCTTACTCGGCAGGTTTGCTGCAGCGGGGGTATTTGTTAGGAGCCTCAAAACAAAACAGTGCCTATTCTGAGCTGTGTTCTGATTGGCAGATCACACGAGGCTCAGTGTCTGGGTGTTAGACGGAGACGTAGCCCATGCCCACCTCCTCAGGTTCGCTCTGTCCGAGGAAACATTCCCCCACACGACGGTGGTGTTTCTGGTTGCCATGACAACACCATGGAGTCTGCTAGATCAGCTGGAGAACTGGGCGAGTGTGCTACAAGACCACATAGACAAGCTAAACATCCCAGCGGACCAGATGCAAGAGTATCGGACCAAGTGTGAGTAAACGAAAATAACTAAAATGTAACATGTTTGTACAGTAAACTTCCAATTAACCTCAATAAAAATCAAGATTCAATTTAAATGAATGTATGCGACGACCACCAACGTGTTAAAGTAGCATGAGGAGGCCTATCACCTTGAAAGCAGACCTTAGAGTTGCTGTTGTAGTTGTTTACATCAGAAACTTATATTTTCATTTAATTTTAGACCTACAGAAAATGCAATTCTTAAACAAATGGATGGTTTCTACTAAGGCAAAGCCTGTGGGTGAATCACCGATTAAAGCGATGAGTTGATAAGTTTAGTGTTACATTTTGTTTAGAGTTTAATTTTTGCTATTCCTAGGCTTTCCATTATTATTGGTTTTGTTGGTGTGTGAAACAAAATTAGAAGTTACCTATACACTATCTAAATAGTTTTATTGGTTACCAAACCTGCTTTAAAGGTTGTCTACATTGAAATTGAAGTTTAAGTTTGTGTTATCCATGATTTCAATATCCACAATCACTTACTATCGCCCCTCATTATCGTGGATAATCTGAAGTAAACGGATGGATGTGTTAATTCTCTACAAAAAATGCCTGAAACATGGTTGATTGCATCATGAACGAGTGATAGCTACATGCTAGCTCTTTATATATATATATATATATATATATATTTAATAATTTACAATAGGTACTCAACAATGGCATACTGAAAAAACTTATACAAGCTGCAAATATAAAATATGACTGTCAAACCTGGCCGAGAGAGAGAATGGCTTATACCACTCGGCTACTGATGTGATCTAACAGACTTTCTCACCAACGACACTGCTCAACAAAATGCATTTGCCTAATAGTTGTAAACTTTTAAACTCAACTCCTGGGTTGCAGCAGTTGTTAGGTAGCCCTACATATAGCTTTGACCTGTTTTTGTTGAATTATTCTTTAATAGAGAGTTAAAAGTAGAAGTTTGGCTATGTTACTCTTATATATCCGGATACATCAGACTTCAAATCTCAAAGGATTAACTCTCATTGTATACCATAGGTATTCGGAGATGGCAGGAATATGTTGAACATGGAGAAGATCTGGAATTAGATTCTCAGTTGCGGCGAACGTCAAGAAATTTTGATGATGAAAATGGCCAAAATGAACTTCTTCCATTGGGGGAGGGGGTTCTTACCAGAAATCTAGGCTTAGATGTTGTAGTCGTTGTAACAAAGGTGAGTCAGTTCATTATCATATCATCATATTTTGGCTGCCTAGATCAGATGCACAGTTAGTTAACTCAACATTTAATGGTTTTACGAACTGAGATAAAAAAATCATCCAAGGTTATGACAAAATTATTTAAATGTAGGCTGGATACAGAATGTAAGGTTTTTTTTATTTAAGTAGTGCTATTACACATATTGAACATAACACTTGTTTTTTTATCTTTAATTAAAGATAGACAAGTCTCAGAATTTGGTAAAATTTTTTTGATCAAGATTTTTTTGGACAAAATTAAAAAATAAAAACGTCTTCAGAAAGTCAATGCAATACCCACAATGCCGGAGCCTGTTGTAGTTGTGTTTCCTTTGCGAAGGCGTTCTTATACAATTAATTCTTTACATGTAAATATTACTTTAACGAGGTGTTAGCCCGTCCTACGTACGGGAATTTAGTAGTCAGTTAAAACCATGTACAATTCAGATCAGCTAGTTTACACTTATAAAGATAAAGTTTCTTGCAGTTTTAATGTGAAAAATCATCTTGTAATCAAATGTTGTGCGACCAAATATGTTTTTATTCCATCATAGGCCTATACGATATGCATTTTAAATCCGATAATTTTACAATAAAACAGCAATTCTGCAATTTTTACGATGTGAAAAGCGTTGAAGTGAGATTTGCAGCCGATTCGCACAGACGCACACTGATTATAAGTAGCCTACAGTAGAGAGAGTAATAGTCAATTGAGAAGTGTATAGACTTAGTCAACGATACCACCTTCCATAGCATACCTGCCTCTTCCATAATTATTATCACCACAATACAACTACTATACACAATTTCCAGTAGGTCTGAATAGAAACAACCTAAAATAAAACGATAATATCCAATAAAATTCACAGTACACATAAATCGTCACACCTATCCTTTATATCAATTTCACTGCATGAATTGCTAAATAAATAAGTGTAAACAAAGGTAAGTAAAAACAATAACAGTTTGTTTTGAAACAGCCGTTTGGTTCAAATAACATACATTTGAAAAAAAAAGAACTCACGATTACTAAAAGAACTGGTCACATGTAGCAGGAATATAAAAAGTAAACAAGCTAGTAAAGCTAATGACGTAATTGTCAATGTTTATTATCCATACCGTTATCAGTTCTAGCCTTAATAATTACCCACCCTCATTGAATAAGTGTACATCGTAATTTCCCATATTATAGTTAATTTAAACTACAATATAGGTATTCATAGTTGAAATAAAAGTAGGGATGGATGAGATTGGATTTTTAGTTCGAGACGAGACGAGACAAGATTTTTTATTTCTCATAAAATTTCGAGACGAGATTGAGACGGGATTTCCCTTCTCATACACAATGGGAAATGCACGTTCAAAATTTTTACCTGATTTTGCAACATTGTTAGATGACTGTTTAAATACAAAAATAATGATAATAGGCAAGAATATTTACAATCTTTTATTAAAAAACATCAGCATAACATTTTTTTATTAATCACGCCTAACTTATTAAAAATGCCTACGATTAGGAAACATAGTGATATCAGTTAGGATAGAGTTCAACTTATCCTAAAATAAAATAAATCATAAAATAAAAGCAATATTAATTTTTATAAAATAGTTAGGTACTTGTTTTGACTTTTTATAGTAATAAAACATTCCTCACACTGCGTACACTTGCTTTAACATAGACTACGTTTTTAGCACGGACTGTATTATTTGACTTACTGGGATTTTTGATCTACAGACACTGCAAACATTGTAGTTTTTGACCTAGCGGCACAGGTATAAATTATTTGATCTTCCGGGACTGTTGACTTTCTGCAACGCGTCCGATATATTAATAGTTCGTATGTAGGCCATACATTCAATATAATACATAATTATATGAAAAGAAACTCAAATAAACCTTAGATTTCCCACATGCCTCTGTCTTAATCTGATATAGATGCTTGAAATAGACTTAACATCTACACTCATTAAAAAGTAGAAAATAATTTATAAATTTAGTCTGCAGGTTTGCTGCGACAGGAGTATTTTATTCTTCCAGCTGTTTTCCATTCAGGTTTAATAGTCGTTCAACATTGAGTTATTAAGTGTTGTCTTGTCTTCGTTTATTTAAACTTTCTCTCCATTTAATGTCTGAATGACTAATCCATGTATATGTTGTTTGTTTTCTTTTCTAGACTGACTATATGACCACCTTAGAAAAAGAAATGGACTATAAAGATGAACATTTTGATTTTATGCAACAATGGATTAGAAAGTTCTGTCTACAGTATGGCGCAGGTCTTTTCTATACATCAGCAAAAGAGGATAAAAACTGTGATCTGCTATATAAATATCTTACACATCGTGTTTATGGTTTCCCCTTTAGAACGCCGGCACTAGTTGTTGAGAAGGATGCTGTTTTGATGTAAGTTGTGTTATATTTAAAATGTTAAGTGTTAGGACTAAGAGTATTTATTTCTAGAATTTGTGATACTCTAATCCTACCAGGAGCTATGCTTTTCTTCCTGACCTTGGGAGAGTTTACATACAGTTGTTAAGCTGAGGGAGTAGAAGATTAAGAGACTTTATTACCCTTTGAAAATTAGGCAAAAAATGTGGGCAAAATCTATATCATTAACATGCTACATGAAACTGTGTAAACAATAAGGTTTTTTTGTTTTAAGATTTAACCCCATATATTACATACCAAAATGTTTGTCTGGGTGTGTACATTTTAGGGATGGACGGGTCCCGAAATTTCGGGAATTTTTCGGGAAAAAAATATTCCCGATTATCGGGACGGGATTACATTTGACTCGGGAATTTTTCGGGACGGGATTTGGTCCGATCGTCGGTGATTTTTCCGCTTCGCGAGTGCCGATAACGCCGTTATTGCGAGCGATAGGTCCGCGAACGCAGGAGACGAAGTCATACCGACGATCGCGCCGTGACCGCGAGTCATGACGACGATCACGCCGTGACCGCGAGTCATGACGACGATCGCGCCGTGACCGCGAGTCATGACGACGATCGCGCCATGACCGCGGAGTCATGCTGACGATAACCCCGTGACCGCGGAGTTATACCGACGATCGCGCCGTGACCGCGAGTCATACCGACGAGCGCGCCGTGACCGCGAGTCATACCGACGATCATGCCGTGACCGCGAGTCATACCGACGATAACCCCGTGACCGCGGAGTCATACCGACGATCGCGAGTCATGACAACGATCGCGCCGTGACCGCGGAGTCATGCTGCCGATCGAGCCGTGATCGCGAGTCATACCGACGATCGCGCCGTGACCGCGGAGTCATGACGACGATCGCGCCGTGACCGCGAGTCATGACGACGATCGCGCCGTGACCGCGAGTCATACCGACGATCGTGCCGTGACCGCGAGTCATGACGACGATCGCGATGTGACCGCGAGTCATGACGACGATCGCACTGTGACCGCGGAGTCATGCTGACGATCGCGCCGTGACCGCGAGTCATGACGACGATCGCGCCGTGACCGCGAGTCATGACGACGATCGCGCCGTGACCGCGAGTCATATCGACGATCGTGTCGTGACCGCGAGTCATGACGACGATCGCGATGTGACCGCGAGTCATGACGACGATTGCACTGTGACCGCGGAGTCATGCTGACGATCGAGCCGTGATCGCGAGTCATACCGACGATCATGCCGTGACCGCGAGTCATACCGACGATAACCCCGTGACCGCGAGTCATACCGACGATAACCCCGTGACCGCGGAGTCATACCGACGATCGCGCCGTGACCGCGAGTCATACCAACGATCGCGCCGTGACCGTGAGTCATACAGACGATCACCCCGTGACCCGCGAGTCACAAGTTACTATAGGTACCTGTAAATTGTTACCCATTTTTCGGTTTTTATAGATCAGTGCCACAAATGGTGAAAATTGATTTCATATGTCTTTTTTTGGTAACTGCAATACAGTACTTTCTTTTTATGCACAGAAAAAAATCCCGTCCCGTCCCGTCCCGAAAATCGGGAAGGAAATAAAAATCCCGTCCCGTCCCATCCCGAACTAAAAATTCAATCCCGTCCATCCCTAGTACATTTGCAAACTGACCTTATATTTTTGAAAAAAGTCCCTTGACTTCTGGCCCAGTGGCTTTTAAAGTTCTCATGTTATCCTTATGAATAACGTTTACATTATAATCAGCTAGATAGATTAATTGCTGTTAATATTGTGACGCAAAATTCTAGGGGGGGGGAATAAACTGGTATTCAAAATGTCAGGCTAGACCTACTTTAAGAACCAGCCACACTCAAATTTCTTCCCTGGAGTGCTCAGAAGGAGCTGAGAAAAATCCAGGGGTCGATACGAAGTTTTCACGGCTTTGACTGATCAATTTATTTAAATTTAATCGAAGGCACATAGCTCTAGAAGCGCTCAGGAAATCTTGCAGACGCTCAGTGGGAGCTATTTCATTCCCACTTTTGTTTTTAGTGTTTTGGTAAATTTTGCCTAACTTTTATCTTGACTCTGTAGAGCCGACGAGTATTTTATCCTGGCCAATGTGATAAAACTAGTCTTGTTTAACTTTAAACCATTTGGCTGAAGAGTGAAGACGTTGGTAAATAGTATAAAATAGAATATAACGTGAGGAATTTCTTCAGAGCCTACGGGGCCTAATTAATATTCAAACGAAGAATATAGTGTAACTCATTGTTGTGGTTTGCCCCTGAGCTGGTAAGACAAATATTAATAGTGGTTTATTAACCTTGTATTTTCGTCCCAGCTCAAAAATTTGTATGGAAGCTACAACCATGGTTTTGACGCCGATTGCAATGGTCACGTAGGACATGTCAAGAATTAAAGTGTTGTCACAGTCGGTTGCTTGGACGTAGTCAAACTCGAACACGAACATTTACATAAACACGAACACTTTGGGACAGGTACATATTAAACAAGAGTTTCTCAAAGTGTGGCCCGCGGACTGCCTTTCCAATCAAATGTATTTTTAATTACTAACAACAAAAGCGCCTATTTCTGAAAATAACAGTTTAAGTTTGCATTACAAAATGCATACATTACGTAGCAAGCTCAACACATGCCTATGAGCACGTAAATATTGGGTTAAAGGGGTAGGGGGTGAGGGTAGTTAGTTGTAGGTGGTCCATATTACATACATAATTAAATTACGTGGGTCCTTGAGTAGGTGAAGTTTGAGAACCCCTGTATTAAACACTTAAAAAGTGGTTCTCGAGGACGGAATACAGGCCTTTAACTGTAAGAGTGTTCTCCAGCCGGTTCCTGTGACAGTACAATTAAATAAGTACAGGCCTGTATTCCGTCCCCGAGAACCATTTGTTAAGTGTTAAATATGTACCTGTCCCAATGTGTTCGTGTTTGTGTACATCTGAGTTTGACGACGTCCAAGCGACCGACTGTGGATGGTCAGTTTGTTCCATATTTAGCATTATTCTGATTGATTTCTTTTGTAGTTTTAATATCTCATTCAGGTTATTAATATTGGTTGCTCCATAAACATGTATATTGTAGGCTAAATGAGAATGAATCATACCGTAATAGACCATTTTGAGAGTTGTCAGATCACAAATATTTGTTAATGTCCTGAGAGCAGACACACCCGAATTCATTTTTGCCAGTACTTTTTCAACGTGGGAGTTCCAACTGAGACTGCTGTCTATATTTAGGCCTAAAAAGGCTAAAAAGGTTAGGCCTAAAGGAAGACATTTTACTGTATTTTCCTCTAATCCCTGTTAAAGCCTTAAAAAAAATAGACTAGGCCCTACTCTTGATAAACTTTAAGATTATTAATAATTTTTCTAATGTCTTTTTCAGTTGACTTTTGTTTTTTAAAACATGCGAACACTTTTTTGAACAATGAAAATATTGTTTATGCATATAGGCCTAATAAAAGAGGAAGATCGCAACTTATTTTTTAATTGTTGTCTTTGTGTTTCAGACCTTCTGGATGGGACAACATGAAAAAAATTAGTATATTATACGAGAATATGCAAAGCGTTAAGCCAGACGAGTATTACAGAAATATCATAGCCCCGCCCGTTGTCAGAAAGGTAATAAACTTTTAAATAGCTTCACACACTTTTTAACTTGTTCGCTACTGAGCGTCGCATATATGCGACGCCACGGTCATTGCCACAGACCGAGGTATACATTTGAATCCTACACACAGACCGGCTGACACTTGGTTAACAGTACACAGGGTGGAAACCGGCCGTCGCATATGTGCGTCGCTGGTTCATGTGAATGAAAAATTTCGTACTATTGCAGTAGCGAACATGTTAAACTTTGGACTGGTAGTCTACTTTAGGCAGTGTAAGCCATACACTTTTTGTCAGCAGAGGTTGCTCTGAATTGAAAACATGAAGATCAATTCTGTCCGGTTATAATTAAAAAGTTTTTGTTTGGAACTGGATGTAATACTATATTATATTATTTAAAATATAAAATATATAAAATACTAGTTATTATATTATTTAATGTATTTGTAAATTTAAAGTTTATGACTTGTTAATATCCTGAGCATAACAAAACATGAAATATAATAGGCTTAACCCATTGGCGCCGACTTACGAGCGTTACTCGTACGGCCGCTGCAGGCCCGGAGGCCGACTTACGAGAGCCGCTCGTGTCACCACTAGGCAGCGCCATTTTTTATTTAGTTATTATTATTTTTCGCCCTTTTTGTTGCTTCTTACTATTATAATGTTTATAAATATCTTGCTTCTTGATTTGCTTATTTACTAATTTATTTTAGCGAATAACAAACAATTTTGTGTTGTCATGGAAACCACATATCACCAAAAATCAGCTGCGGTAAGGTAAACAAACAATTAAAAAAAATGTTATTACTTATAAAAGTACACAACTTTTGATTTTTCTACGTAGGGAATCGATTGACCTTTATAATAGTAGTGTTATTTGGTGTCTGGATTAATCTTGGAATTTGTATATCAAGTTTACTTTCAAAAAATTGTTTTTAACATTTTTATTTTTATAATCTTTATATATATATATATTTTTAGTTTAGAACTTTGACTATCCAATTAACACTTTACTGTAGACAATTTTACTGGGAACATAATGGTGAAAGAATTATTAATTTATTACCTAAGGTTTTCTTTCTATAGCAGTTGGAGTAAAAGTCTACAAATTCGGTAAAATTAATTGCCGCCAGAGGGTGCTGCAGGTAGCGGATTAATTCCTTCCCCAATGGGTTAATCTATATATAAAGCCCAAAGTACCCATGAACTTTTGAGAAAACTACAAGTCACACCCCCCATAAACCATATACTTAAAATGTACGTCATGACGAGAAATCTTGTGCAAAACCATCCATTTTTTTTTCATAAATTGCCCTTTAAGGTCATAATTGCTTTCCAAAGGGAAGTTTCCATATACTTAATGTTAAAAATACCCCAGCTGTTCTTATTTGTATGTTATTCTTTCAATTTATTACCTTATTAAAATCTGGTGTGATTTTGTTTGTAATGCTGCATTCTGTTTTGTTTATTCCAGCTTAACATAACCAATCAATAGTTTTATTAGTACTAATGAAGTCAAACGGATTTATGAAGCCCGTGGGTAACAGCTAGTTCTGCTAAAAACTTAAACAATGTAGTATCGGTTGTGTGTAAACTATGTATGATCACAAATTTGTTATACTAGTGGTTGTCCAGCGGTCAAAAACTCAACCAAAAATATGTAATAATGTACTGGCTTCTCAATTTTCACACGATGCCCAAATAAAACATGTGATTAGAATTTCTTCTATTTTTTTGATTTTAAGTTTATATTTTGTTGTTATTTTGTCACCACCCATAAGGCCCATGTAAATTCTTTTAAAATTTAAAATTCATTTTTTTTTTTTTTTTTTGAACCCATTTTAATTTATAAATGGATTCTGCACACTTACAGGAAAATATCTTTCTAACAGTATGCGTAGATCTTATCTGCAATGGGCACAAGCTGAGAAAAAAGGTTTTAAAGAAACATGCTTAACCTATAGATGGTTTTACAATAAATAATTTCTATGAAAATGAATTAGTTTTGATTTTACGGACCTGCAATACAGAACATGTACCATCTCAAATTTTGTTAGAATCTTTTGTTTCAACTAATTTCACAAATTAAAATTTCCATTTGACAGGCAGTAACAAGAGATCAGGAAGTACAAGCAGAGGATGAGCAGAGTTTTCTAGCCAAACAGTTGGCGCTACTACAGCAGGGAGGGGCGCCAACCTCGAGAACGGAATCTCCCCTGAGGACGCCAGCTGGAGTACAGAAGACTGGAGAGAGACGGGTACAGGGCTCACCATCTGTTCAGGGCTCTCCCAAGAAGGTTTTTATTTGATTTTTTATTGTTTTTCCATACCTAAACATTTTAAAGAAATTATATGTTAAGAATCATGAACAATAAAATAAAATAAATACATTAAGGGCGTGACACAAAACACAAGGGGGCAAGTTTTTTAGAACTCATTTTCATAGGCCCAGGATTGTGTGAAATGACTAATAATGGCTAAAACATATTTTGTCAGATAATCCTTAACATCTGTTGTAAAACTTGCCACACCATTGTCAGGTTAACAATAGGATCCCTTTGAAAATTGTTGTTAGAATAGCAGGCGTACCCATTGACTTTAAGTGTAGGGTTGATATCCTATCTATATGGGCCAGATGTAGCAAATTTTTTCATTCAAAAGGAACAGAGTTAAATAAGCCACTCTCAGAGTTCCTGTTAAAATTCTATTTACTTTCTGTAGGGATAGACGAGACAAGATTTTTTATTGCTCATAACATTTTGAGACGAGATCGAGACGGGATTTTCCTTCTCATCAGTGCCGGATTTAGGGTACTTGAGGCCCTAGGCCAAATTACTTGAGCGGCCCTCCCCCTCCCCCTGTGGCGGAAATTCCTTGCAATCGCGGAAATAATCGTGAATATCTCTTATGCATCAAGGGGACATCATCATTGACACCCGTGATCGTGGATGAAATCGTGGACATCTCTCCTAAATCAAGTCAAAGCCATCATAGGTATCCGAGAGCGCGGCAAAATCATGAACATCCCCCATGGGCTGCAACAAAGGGACATTATCACCGTCACCCGCGACCGCAGTAAAATCGTGAACATCTCCCGCGGGCTGCAATCGCGGGGACATCATCATCGACACCCATGGCCGCTGCGAAATCGTTAACATCTCCCGTGGGCCGCAATCACAGGGACATCATCATCAACACCCACGGCCGCGGCAAAATCGTTAACATCTCCCGCGGGCTGCAATCGCGGGGACATCATCATCGACACCCACGGCCGCGGCAAAATCGTGAACATCTCCCGTGGGCCGCAATCACAGGGACATCATCATCAACACCCACGGCCGCGGCAAAATCGTGAACATCTGTGGGCCGCAATCACGGAAACATTATTATGGTCACCTGTGATCGCGGCAAACTAATGGTTAAAAAAAATATTTGTTTATCTAAAAAAAATGTTGTGCAATCCTCTGCGGCCCCCTTGCTTGCGGCCCTAGTAGTGGTAAATCCGGCACTGCTTCTCATACACAACGCAACTACAACGCGCTCCTGTATTGCGAGTACGACTCAGTACAATCAAGAACAACTGTAACAGATCGGGCAACTAATGATGTGCTTATACAGTCCTAGTTACTTTTCTGATTCGTCGTCAGATGGCACCACCTCCCCGGTTACGTCATGACAACAGGGTCCCTCCAAACGGGTCCGCGGAATTGGCTAACTCTGGAACTCGCTAACCCCATGTTAAATGCCCTATCTTCAAATTTGGTCGATGAGAGGAACTCGCTAACTTGTTCGGTTTCGGAATTGGCTAACTCCGGAACCCGCTAACCCGCTCCAGAGCCGGGTTAGCGAATTCCGTCCTCGTACGGAAGTCGCTAACTCGGTCCCTCGGCGGAACTCGCTAACTCCCAATCAGAAGCCTCGCGGGCCGTCCAATGGGAGCCAAGCACGAATAACTTTGGCCAGTGTTGCCGAAAGTGTAGTACCTATATCGTATCGGCACCATAATGTCGTATCCTACGATTAATTAGGAGTAAGAGCAACGTAGTCGATAAAATAAATATATATTTAGAAGTATGTTTAACCACGGAGAAGTTCTTATGATTATTAGGGTGGAAAATGCATTATAGTCTTACCATAGACTAACCAACACAAGTAAACTTTACATCCCATTGTAAACTTTGAAGCTCTTTTTTCGTGTCTAGTTCATGTCCGGTGACACTGATCGCTAGTGTCGACAAAATTGTGTTTCTATTATTTTATAGTTAACTTCATGATTTGTTCCTTACTGTTTGGTTATATAACCTGGGGAACGTGTTATTAGTTGTGATTAGAACGTTTTATTTGGTTAAACGAGGTTTTAAATTACTGAAAACAAGAAACAATTGTAAACAAAACACGACCTCTAAAGACAGTACACCGGACAGAACTAACAATACAACTGTCTTCAGATCATCCATAAGGATGAGAAATGTACTAATATAAGGGAGTATGTTTTATATGTGGGTTTCTTACTTAAATAGTAGCTTATTGGTATGAAAAAGATAAAAATGCACATTTAATTTGGATCTATTACATGTTATGAAATATCTATTTTCGTAGTCCGCCATTTGTTTCTTTTATTCGAATAAATACCATTTTGTGAACTTCTGCAAATAAAATTTTTGAGTTCGTATTTTATATAGGCTACTGGGCTTGTAGTAACCTTAAATCATAAATCATAATAAAATTTACACGTTAAACGTCATTACAGAATTACATTGTAGTGGTTATGTATTTTTTAAATAGAGCTATTGAATTTAAATAAATATTTATCAATACATTATAAAGTGGTAGGCCTAATGTATTCATGGATTGCATTAAAAAATAGTCTATGCATAAATACAACTTGTAAATTTCTTTTATCGTAGGCTATTAGTGTAGAACCCGGGTCATCCTCTTAATTTTGTTGAATTAATATTAATTTTACGTCTTTCAGTAGGCCTACTTTTTAAAAGTCTGGAGTTTTTTTCCAGGCTGATTCTATCATATCCAAAAACAAAGCTATTGTCTATTGTGTAGCTCAGTACTGGGGAACGGTGAACCGAGCAATGGCTTGGTATAGTTTATATCGTTTGTGAAAGCAATATAAAGGAAACCCAACACTCAAATCAGGAAAATCCGTCAATTAGTTTATTAAAAATCGTGAATTAAAATAACCCTGTCACGTTTTATTATATGAATATTATATCTTCTCCTATTTTTTACTAGTGGTGCTTAGGTGTACGTACAATCTAAAAACTGTTTTAAAACATGTAACATTATTGCTAAAAAATTCAACACATTTTAGAATTAGGCAACTATTTACTAGTAGGCCTACAATGCTTTGGTTCAAACTATTAGGCCTAGATAAAAACTTAGTCTATGTCATCATATTTGTACACGTAAGTTGGACGGTTCAACGACGAACATTTAATTTAAAATCTATGAATTAATTATGAAAGTTACGATGGTTGATGACTGTATTAATTAATGGTTTTGGTTTATTACGACATTACGATTAAATCTGTTTTCCGTGTTTAAGAACTTGCGTGTATTTTAGCTTATTTTCGTAGAGGTTTAATTATTTATTACCAATTAAACTAAATTTTGAATATTTTTCATATTCTATTATTTTCTTTTATACTGATGGCATTTATATTTAAGATCGACATCATGAACATTTAACTGGCCATTGTACAGTTTAATAAAAAAACACTTTTTCATGATTTTTTAATTGTCTTTTAATTACTTTGGGCTAGTTATCTGTTAAAAGAGGAATTGATAAAAAAAATAACATTTACTGTATCTTTATAGACACTGACATTTTGAAATACGGCAGTGTACGATTATTTTGTCGTACAAGGTTGGCAACGCTCCGAGCAGTGGGCGCGGCCGGGTTAGCGACTTCCAGAGTTAGCGAATTCCGCCGCGAGACAAAATCGAGTTAGCGGGTTCCGGAGTTAGCCAATTCCTGACTGAGACGGTTAGCCAGTTCCAGAGTTAGCCAGTTCCGCCACACGACCGAGTTAGCGAGTTCCTGAGTTAGCCAATTCCTACGTCTCCTCCAAACCGTAGAAGTATCTATTTACGTGTAAGGAGGAAGGCTCATCAGACAAACTTGAGGCGTTTGGTTAACCCATTGGAGAAGGAATGAACACACTGCCTGCAGCCCCCTCTGTCAACAATTAATTTTACTGAATCTGTAGACTTTTACTTTAAAACTCCAATTATCCGAATTAATTGGGACCGGGGTCGATTCGGATAAAAAATTTGGATAATCAGACACAGAATGGTAATAAAGAAAAACAAAGTGTTACACAACGAATGAACTTTATTGAGTGGATAACTAAGACATAATAAAGCTGTTAAATTGAATTGAAGTACAGTAGAGGAACAAATACTGATATTTATACAAATATCAGTTCTTTTCAAAAAGTTCTTTAACAACGCTTACTTGTACATCTCGATCAGCCAGCACATATTACCGTGACCTTGTAGCTCGTTTCCGCGCAGCTAGATCACGCAGGCGCCAGACGGCAAGAAGCTTTTCCCTGTTATTTTTTATGCCAGTAAACGTAGCCGTCCCGACACCAAATCTCTCCGCCAATACCTTTCCCGCCACTCCTTTTTATTATTTCCACTTTGTCCTTTAGCAATAGGACAACACGTTTGCGTTTTGCACTCATTTTAGTTATTTAACACACGTTACCATACAGTAATGAAGATCCCAAGTTTAACAATCTCACAACTCTATATAAAAATTAGCGATCCGCACAATAGGAGAGGGATGAGCTAATCGACCTAGAATCTTCCTAAAATCGATAGTCATGTGTCATTGGGTAGGGGGAGTGGCTGCAGGTGCATGCGCAGTACATTCTGCGCATGTGTCAATTCACTACACCGCCGCGCGGGGTGGCATCGTCGATGTGCCTACGCGACAGTCGGTCAAATTTTTACACTTAGTTTTAATTTTTAATATTAAGCTTAGAGCCGATTTGGATGATTGGCGATTCGGTTAATCGGCGTTCAGATAATCGGCATTTTACTGTAATAGTCCCAAACGAAAAAAAACAAAAAAATGTATACAAATTATAAAAATACAATATTTTGAAAACATTAAAAAAGTAAAATGAGGGGTCACATGATAGGTGTTTACATTTGAAAATTTGGGCTGCCCCCCAAAATACCCCATTTTGGGAGCTGGGGCAAAGTTGTAACTTTGATGAAAAAGTGCAATTCCTTATGTTGTTTTATGTGCCAAGTTTGGTTTTCCTACTGCAAGGCATTAAAAATTTAACTGGGGGGTTCCAGACTTTTGCCTAACCCTGAATGAAAATCTTACCTCTTTATATGTTTTTTTTTTAATTTCATTAGTTCACTTTTTAACTATTTTGTTTACTGTTTAAATTTTTGTATTTTCCATATCCAACTTTGTTTTCTTTGTACCAAACTTGATGTTGTGCTGTGTTTTGTTGGTTTTAGTATTAAAAATTAATCTATGTAGATCAATAATGTTCATATTTAGGTAGTATGGCAACATACGTTACCCCAGATAAGTTTAGTTGACAATGATAGTTATATTTTTTATATTATACCCACACCAATAGATTTTACGTAGTTAGTTCGCCATCAATGTGAAAATCAATGACATCAGTGGTTTAGTAACCAGATTGTTGATGGTATAGATGTATATGTTTCTGCTGCTGTTTCTGGGTGATAATTTCAAATTTATCTGATTGGCAAAAAGCTCATATATGTCTGACTACAAATTCTTAGAACTGGCGTCTGGCAAACTATTGTTCAACATTTAGAACCAGAACGCTTCTGCCTCAAAATTGTGCAGTATAGGCCTTACTCTTTTTACAATTAACCACAGGTGTGGGCACTAAAAAAAGTTTTAGTTATTTTATTTCACTAATTAGTCTCCCAGATAACAGTTCAACACAAGTTTTTTTAAGAGTTAACCCAACCTAGAGTCAATAGTATTATTATAAACTTTCTTGAGCCTTTCCTTAATAGCATTTCCTCTATTGTACAATTAATCATACTATTGTTATGAAGGGTAAGATTGTCACAAATTATTGTTGTAAACCTTCGAGTCTGCAGCCATTAAGTTTATCTAGGCCTACCCATTTGTATTTAGTTTCCAATAACACCGTTAAGGTCTTCTCTTGTGGTCAAGTTTCAATTTTTAATTAATTAATCTGTTCAAAATAGTTCAAGTATATTTTATTTTATTTTGTTTTATTCATCATGTTTGATTCTATGTAGGCCTAAGTAAACTCTATGGTTTTCAGCACAATTTTCAAAATTAAATTCTTATTAGTGCCAAGAAAGAAGCCCAATAAGCCTTGTGTTTGATAGTTTTATTATTATTTCAGTTGATACATAACGACTTTTTCTGCTAAAATCCTGCCTGTACCAATCCTCTTCAATCCCAGTTACCCCCAGGTCTAGGCATCACTTAAGAGGACTAAACTACTATCTTCTCCTATTTGTTTGCACAAATACCTTCCTTTCTACATCCCACTTCGCCATAAACTCTTAGTTCTTAAAGATTCATCTGCTGCTACATTTTTCTCAGATGTCCAAACCATATCAATCTTGCTTTTTCTACTCTCCTTGCTGTCATCAACTACCCCTCAACAGATCACATAATTTTAACTCCATGGAATGGAATGTCTAATTCAGTGTCCGAAATTTTATGGTAAATAAAAAGGTTCGTAAATGTAAAGCCAATGTAATATGTATGACCTCGTTGCAGATGGACTCAACAAAAGCAGGTCCAGCCGCTAGTGGGGAAGGCGTGCTGGCGAACTTTTTTAACTCATTACTGCACAAAAAAACTGGAGCTGGTTCACAAATGGTCAAGTCACCTAGTGAGTTGAAAATAATATTAAATTAACTTTATTTTTAGCTTTACCACAGAGAGAAGTAAGATACAGAGAATACAAGCTTATGAGACAACCAATCACTGTTAGCTCTAGTATATTGGGGCAGAAATGTACTAGTAAGAAGGGCGATGGCCACAGCAAATTTGTACAGCAGTTTTAGCACACAGGACCTTAAGGGGAGCGGAAGGGGACAACGAATAGAATTTGCTCTAGACATCACTTAAGTGCATCATTAAGTGTATTCCCCGTTTCTTACTTCTCTGTTGCCTCTAGAGTTGTGCTCATGAGTGTCAGCTCTAAGGGGGGAAGAATGCAAGTTTGACTTTGTGTAGAGCAATACTTGAAATTGAAGAAATTGAATTGTTAATCTTATGTGATGAACTGTTGGGATTTTTAATTCCATCAAAAGAGGTTTACAATGGGTTGGGGAACTAGATTAGCAAAATATTACTCACTGCCTTCTTTGAATCAACAGAGCCGATATATATTAGGGGAATTTCCCCAAACTAGAATGCCATGGAGAAGTAGTAGTTCATTCAGATACAATGATATAAAAATAATTAAATATTTCCGTACTCAGTAGGCCTCTGCGGGCCAGATAAAACCTGTTCACGGGCCGGTTGTGGCATTTGGGCCGTAGGTTGAAGACCCCTGATCCTGATTATTAGAGTTCTACTTTCAAAGAATTTTAGGCCTTTTTAACAGACAATGACACTGGTAGTTGAAAATGTAAACCATTTAGTACTGTTTTAAGCTAGTTCCACCCTATCTCTTAGTAACGTTCAATAATTCCTTTACAATTGCAGGTCTGACAGTGTTTTAACAACTTTCCTCATGTTGTTACAGATGACCTGTCAGTCAATAACAGTCTAGTGATAGACAAAGCCGTCGTCAGGTCCGATGCAGCTGCAGAACTAGATCGGTTAGCGAGGAAAAAACCTCCCACCACAAGCTCGAGTCAAGACCAAAACTCTTCAGAATGTTAAACAGCCTTTCCACCCATCTGTATAGTCTCCTATTTATATACCTGTGGGAAAAATATTCGTACGAAGATCAACATATTTTTATTAAATTAATGTTAAGACATGTTATTTGATTATATAATTTTAGCCGTTTTAATTCGACCTGGTGTAAATGTAACTCTCGTTATCAAAACAGGGTCGTTTGTTTTTTCTAGTGATGTGTCTATACCATTTTTCAATGTCAATACCGGTGTTTGTTCCTGACTGAAATATATTCTCGGCTATTGGTACCTATCTAAATCGTGTTCATTCTTTGAAAGTAAGTTGCAAACTTTGTTATTTAACAGGAGTTGTAAAAAATATTTTAAAAATCATTGTATAGACCCTGAACCTATTGACTTAAATTAAATTTCCAAAGACGCTCCCTTGATTGCGTATTATGAGGTTAATGTAGAATGAAGTGAGATGATCTGTGTTGCTTTGTTACCGACTAAGACTAGCTGTCGCAAGGGACAACTTGGTCCTTGTCTTGTATAAATACAGTATTTACAAGTGTGTTGATAACCTTGTCAGTGAGTGTTGCATGTTTCCTCTGGTGCCTCTCAGGCCAAGATGAATGTTTTATTGTCAGTTTGAGTAGCTTCGTTAATGGTTTACTCTTACAACACAAACACTCAACACACTACATATGCGTTGAAAAGTTTAACACATTAGACATATACAGGAAAACAGTGCGAATCCACTAGCAGGAACAGATTGTGCTTCCAACAGGCCCGTGGTACCAAAATACCGGTATTGACATTTTAACGGCAGTTTTCAGTATAAGTCCTTTTCCCAAGAAGTGGTGGTACTGGAAATGGTCTTGAGGTACAGACACATCACTAGTTTTTTCAAACCAAACTTAATGTTTTTCAGCTATTTACGAAGTGTCTGTTTAAAACAGTGGATTATTTAGCAGTTAGCGAGAGTATAAATTGTGTTGAACCCTGACTGCTATTGAGAAAGTGTGATATAACTATAGTGTAAAATAAATTTTATATGGATTTTCCTCAGATGTGGATGAAGCTTTGTGTTTTAGCCAAAATTGTTGTTTTGTTAAGTGATTTTTAGACCATTCCTAGTCTGTTTTGTTGTGAGTGCCTAGATATTTTGTAATCTACTATAAACTGATAGTATTCAATAAATCACAGTATAGCTATGTATCTTTGCTCAAATTTCTTTTAAACACTTTTATAGTGTCTTTGCAATATTTTTTTTGTTTTGCACTAACAACTTGTTATTTCAATTGTAAGTATTTAACTTGTATTATTTTTCCCTTCATAAGAAACTTTATTTTCTGTTTTCCACTAATAATACTACCTAAAAGCGTTGCCTGCTGCTTTTGTAACACAGCTTGAATATAAACATGGCTAGTTTTGTCTTATCAGCTTAGATACATAGTTCACAGTATAATCTTCTACTTGAAAGTGCCAATAATTAAGTGTAATTTAGTTTTAGAACAAATTCAAAATTGTAATCTTTAATTTGTCGATTGAATTACAACTGTGCCAGGTTAAGTTAAATCTTTATTTAATTTGCACTTAAAGAAAGCTAAGGTGTCTTTTTATCACTCTTTTGTAGTCAGAATGTAAACATATTTATTTTTTTTTTTATTCTTAGTTATCAAATTAAACTAAAAAAATTTGAAACTTAAGATCAATACTGGTCTGTTGGATATACTTTCAGTATATTTTTTAGAAGTGCAATACCGATTTATTTTCTTATTCCAGTATAGTCCAATTTATACTTGGAATTAAAGAAATGTTATTTTTTTTCTTGTTCTACGGAATGATGTAATTTGTATTAGAAGAATTCGTGAGCTATATTCACTTAACTGGTTTTAGCTTCAGCCAATTTTACGTGAAGTAATTATTTACATTTGAATTCATTCATAACAAAATATGTTACAAACTGTCCAATGCAGTGTTATTGTTTGTTTTAAAACAATTTAATTGCTGACCTTTGTTCCATTGACAAAGGAAGATTGGTTTGTTAACATTAGTTTAAGGTTTTGCTTTTATTTTTTAGCCAAAGCTAACTGTTTCTCCCTCTGCTTGTATATTTATTGTCTGTTTTGTAACTATTGTTGTATATAATAATGAATAATTTATGTTGAACTGCTATTGTAACTATATATTTGTACATATTACAGCTGATTGGTTTATTGCACATAAAACAGTTATTGGGCCAATACAGTTTTTGCTACTTATCACAATCAAAAAGATAATTGCATTGGCCTTTGAACATTTTGTAAGTTTATTGATTTTTTATTTATTTGTTTTTCAAAATAAACTAATGATTTACTAGTCTAGTTGTACTTGTTTACATTATATTTATCCTGCTCAAAAACAAATGAAACAATATTACCATAGACTAGTGGCCTGTAGGGGCCATAGCCCCTAATTTAGACTACAATAAAACAACTATACATAAAAATACAAATACTTGAAATATGTTTTAAAAATGATCAATTTTATGTTACTTAAAATTAACAGTGTTTCTTGTTTTATATCTTGGTTTTCCATACGTAGGAGTTGTAGTTAGTTGCTTCTGATGTGTCAATAAAATACAATTGTCCACATGAAGGCAACTCCCCATTTCGCGGTAGTATATCAGAAATATATATATCTACTGAATTTTAAAACAGTAAGGCCCATTTCCTGGATTCCCTTTTTGTGCAGCGGAAAGCGACACAAAAGCCATTGCACTGTTGTATTGCCTTATGTTTTTTTATGAAGTTAGAATCATGTAAAAACAGTTCTTTTAGTTTGTCATTTGCTTGTGGTTGTGGCATGTTAATGAGTCAATTGTGGCAACATGCGTTGAAATGTCCATTTGTGGCCTCCTCTGCGAAGTGAAATGCGCCACAATGCATGCAGGTGCTGTTAAAAGCTCCTAGATTGTGAGAAACAACACTCAACTAATTTTCCAGCGTTCTTCTGAAAGCAGGTTGTAAATCAGCTTGTGGATTTCTTTCATAGTTAGGCCTTACATGACGTTCTCTTTCAGTAATTTCTCGTGTCAGTTGAATTCCTGGATACTCTTCCACGTTTTCCCCTACCCTGTCTAGTTACTTCACTCATTATAAAAACGGAAAAAACCAAACAAATACATTTAGTTTTGAAACATTATCTAACAACATTGACTTTCAGAATAAATGTTAACATTGCAAATAAGTAAGAAACAGCTGATTAGAATGCAGACGTTTTTCAGTCCCCTTGCTTTTCTTATGGTGGATATTTTACGTTATATCTCGTTTTATGGCAACTTTATGGGAATTCTGCTATTTTTCCCTGACTCCCTGGAGCTAAGACCATTAATTTGAGACCTCTTTCACTTTTCTGCGACTTACCAGACGTCCACAATTTTCTGGTAAAAATTTTGTCTGACAGTATTATATTATTAGCCCAGTCAATAAAGACACAAAAACGACCAACGTCGGAACAAATTAGTGACAAGCAAAACTATATACCACTGGATAGTACACATAGAGATGTACATTTTCCCAAAAGTCCCCTAAAATCCCCCCGGTGCTTTCCCCCCCACCCCCCCTCAAAGTCAGGAATTGCAAGGTTTTACTAAATCACGCTTAAGTCCAGTATGGTTTATCCGATTGTAATCATTTATAGCTCGTTATATTCCTAAATAAATTGTCTAAAATAAGTTCTTTTACACTTTTGCGTTAAATCCAATACTTTCTTCAAAATTTAATGATAAACTCTAAAAATAAGCAAATCTTTAAGCCGATATTTCAGTTTTTCTGCCGTAGTTTTTTAAATAGTTGAAAAATGAAAAACGCCTTCTCTAAAGGTTGTAGAGAATGTCTTTCTGAACATTTTCATATAAATAAGTATAGGATTGTGATATAAATATGGGCAGGGGAACGGTAAAACGAGACGTGAGTCTGGGCCTCGACGACGCAGCGCAGCCGTCGTGCCGCGCGCCGCCTTATAACCGCGAGTGAAGTTATCCACCCTGGGTAAGGTACAGTACAGAATTGAGTTTGTTATGCAAAATCAATTATCTATTAATGAGGTTTGAACTAATACTATCAGAGACTCCATTTGGCAATACAATTACAATGGGACCGGCTACGTTCCAAGCAGTGCTGCTATCTGTGGGTGTTTAGCGAACTACATTGACTCTCGTTTTAAAGCAGGACATCCCCGCACGTTATTTGCTATTCGTCAGACCAAAATTGGAAAGCCAATCACACGCCGCAATAGGGTTTGTTTGACGCTGAGGGCTGCGCCGCACTGGGGATACGCCCGCCATTTGACGTGCCGCAGCGAATGTGTTAATGTGCCAGTTTTATACTTCAATCTGGTATAATTCGTTTTCAGATCCGACTACAGTATTTAATAGGTGGTAGGGATTGTTACAAATGTTTTATATTGTGGGGTTTAGGCTTGGATCTAATGACATGTAATAGAATAATGATATTGAATGTACTGTAGAATTGTGAAAGGAACCTAACCTCAAAATATAGATATAGAATATTGTTCCAACAATCACACGTTGTATTGCGAGGTTCCAGACGGAAGGCCTAGAGACTCAGTGAGGGTGTGGGGCTACTGACACTTACCCCATTTATGACGATTTGCTAAAAAGTTTTCAACTTTAATGTGCGGTTTCAAGAAGTAATTCAGTGAAAGGCGTATGACAGTACAAGAAGTAGTGGCGTGATGTACAATTAATTTTGACAAGTCATTGTGATTGGACACTATTTAGTTTTTGGATATTCTAACTAGAAGGTTGGTTATAACAGTTTAATAACGAATAGCTTTAAAATGTAGGACCAGAATATCTAACGTCTTAGCTATGACAATCTACATTTTTTCATTTAAGGATTAATTTTTTGCAGTTTTTAGATTCACTCATTCATGTCTGGAAGGTAATTAATTTTTGTTCGACATGTATGATGCAGACGCCCTTTGTCCGTTGTGTGACAACAGCCTGGAAGGTGATATTGTACAAGTCTCAAAAGGACTTAACACTATTGTACAGAGTAGCTTAAAGCGAAAAGATGGTGTTCACGAAAAAATTGAAGGTAAACAGACCATTAAAGTTCATAAAAAGTGTAGGCAGGATTACACCAGACCTTCAAGCATTGCCGCGGCGGTTTTGTCATCGGGGGTGTCAGAACTAAGTATCCCTTCAACATCAACACGGCGAAGCGTGGGGGAAGTATTTGACTTCAAAACTAAATGTTTTATCTGTGGAGATTCGGCGTTAGTCACTTCCAAAACTCCTCTGGACCGAAGGAAAGAAATTCGAGTTGTGGCAACACTAGAAATAAGGGAGAATTTCCTTCAGAAATGTGACGAACGGAGTGATGAGTGGGGAGAAAGAGTAAGAGCTCGTTTGTTGAACGTGAGTGACCTTGTTGCACCTGAGGCTCGGTATCACAAAAAGTGCTTCACATCGTTTTCTTCTTCTGGAGAGGGCTCTGTTGGAAGGCCAGCTACTGCCGAAGATCATTTTGCCAAGCTGTGCGACTACATGGAAGAAAGTGACGAATGTCAGTTCACTATTAAGGAGCTTCAAGACTTACTGAGCAGAATCACGGGAGTAACGGATATGTATTCAGACAGATGGCTAAAAGAGCGTCTTGTAAAACATTTCGAAGATCGTATCTTAGTGTCTAGCGTGTCAGGCAAAAAAAATTTAATCTGCTTGTCTGACACAGTTAATAAAATTATAGATAGCTGGTACAGAGATCGAGAGATTGACAAGCAGGCTGAAAAATTGAGGATTGTGACAAAAGCAGCTGATATAATAAAGGAAGATATTCAAAAGATGACTTATGACACTCAGTCTTATCCAGGCGTCGATGAAATCAAAAGTGGAGATGAAAGTTTGATTCCCGAGTCATTGGCACTCTTCACAAGTAGGCTTACGAAGAAAAGAAAGTCATCAGAACAAAGTAGTATAAAAAGGAAACGTATCGTTATTAATCATGCGATCATTTCAGCTGTCAGGCCACGATCTTTTCTGTCCTCAGTCCAATTGGGGCTCAGTCTAACACTTCATAGGTTATTTGGATCCAAGCATTTAATAAACATGCTTAACTCAATGGGAATTTGTGCGTCCTATAATGAAACGTCTATTTACTTAAACTCACTAATCACTGCGGGATCGCCTGTAATAAAGGAAGAAGCCTTTATGCAACACGTTTTTGATAACGCCGATGTTAATGTGAGAACACTAGATGGCCTGAATACATTCCACGCTATGGGAGGTATTCAATGTATCGCACCAAAATCTAGCGTTGAAATACAAACAAAAGTTGATAGGATTGCCACAGGAACTTTCAATGCCGAGACTATAAGTATAAAATCATACGCAAACAAACAATCCCGCGTTGGACTGAAAAATGTTATAGTGGCTGGTTTTTCGCAGTTAACTGCTCAATTAAATGTCTGTGGCGACTTCACATTATCTGCTGTGTTCCCACTCAACACTATTTGGCTGTCGGGAGTGAAAACCCAACCCGGGTGGAATGGCTTTATGCAAATAATCCATACAAAGGAAAACGCCCAGTCAACATACATCTTGGAGCTACCTTTTATTAACATGGATGCTTCAAACATGTCCACTATATTCTCAGCATTGACATTTGCCTGTGAACAAAGTAGGAAACAAAATCAGACATGCATTGTTACCTTCGACCAGCCCCTATTTCTAAAGGCGTCAGAAATTGTCGCCGCAGCTGAAGAGAGTAGTGAGATTTCTAAAATTATTTTACGGCTCGGTGGCTTCCATCTATTAATGTCATTTATGGGGTCTGTAGGACTAATAATGGAGGAAAGTGGTCTTGAATCCTTATGGGAGACCGTATATGGATTAAACACAGTTCAAAATATGATCAGAGGCCATGCCTATGCGAGGTGTATAAGACTGTACACACTGACTGCGTCCGCAATTTTTCAAGTTATGGCAACCCTAGACGAAAACCTGAATGAGCATCTTGCAACTCTAGAAAACGTCAATACCCTTCTCATTGGCCACGAAATTAAACCTCAAGATGCACTGATTGAAAGAGATGTTGCTAATGCCTGCAATGCAATTGATTGTGCGATGAAAAAAATTGCAGCCTCTAGTCGCACTGCAAAACTATGGATAAACTTGCTTAAATGCATAGACCTTATTTTGCAGTTTATATTTGCAGAAAGATCTGGAGACTGGGACATGCATTTAAAAACCACATTACAAATGCTCCCTTTTTTTCATGCAGCCGGCCACTTGCCATACGCTAAATCAGCACATCTGTATGTCCAGAAAATGGCTGATATTGAATCACATCTAACAGAGAGGGAATTTGAATTATTTACGAAGCAAGGGTTGTTTACTGTGAGGCGAGGCAAACACTTTTGGTCTGGTACATGGACAGATATGTGCATAGAGCAAAGTTTAATGCGTCCAATGAAGTCCGTTGGTGGATTAACTCATGGGCGAGGAATAACAGACAGTACGCTCCAAAAGTGGGTACATGGAACCCCATACTGTTTGAAAGTCCAAGAAGCTGTAGAAGAGTTCATTGGGACTTCGTTGGCCTTCTCTGAACAGCATGTAGAAATCCGAGAGTCAAGAAAAAGAAGAGATGAAATGGACTTACGTAAGTTTACAGAGTGGCTCGAAGCTCACAATCCATTTACCAAGTTATCAGGAGAGCTTGTATCATTAGCATCTGGTTGCGTCTCTGAAGAAACAGTCAACTGCGATCAAGCATACGACGTAGGTGTCGCAGCTATGGAGAAAATGAAAGGAAAGAACTTTGGCGAACTTCACCTACAAAGGAAAGACAAGGTCATAACGCAGGCAAAACAAAAAAAGATAAAAATTAGGAACCAAGAAGTCACAGTTAACTCACAGCAACTATTTAACAGAATACTATGCGTATGCGACAGTCCACTGAAACTAAAAGACTATTTGAGCTTCGAGTTAGCTGCAAGACCCCCTTCAATCTTTGATGACGTCTCCATTAGAAAAACGACCAAGTCTTCATTGATGAAAATCTTCGAGTGCGGCATTGATGATCATACAGATACAACTGATGTGACCTATGTTGTTGATGGAGGATTCTTAATCCATTATGTTAAATGGCCCGAAAATTCTACCTATGGAGGAATCATAAATAATTACTGTTACTATGTAATATCCAAATACGGAGAAAATGTAACAGTTGTGTTCGACGGCTATCCAGAACATTCAACGATTAAGCATGAAGAGCAACTTAGGAGGGCTTCTAGTAAAACGTCATGTGAAATCTTATTCGAAGACACTACAAGATGTTCAACTTTAAAAGAAAACTTCCTGGGAAACAGAAAGAATAAGAAAAGATTGTTGCTGGCGGTTTCAATGGAGATGCAAAGGCGCGGAATAACTACGCACACTGCCGAAGAAGACGCCGACTATGACATTGTTGATGTGGCTTTGCGAAAGTGCATCAACAACACAAAAGTCTTTGTTGTTGGCACAGACACAGACCTACTTGTTATGCTAGTATCTCTGGCTCCCCCTGACAGTAAATTATTCTTTTGTAAACCAAAAGTTGGACACAATGACCCAATCATTTATAATGTGGAGAAACTGGTGCATAATTTAAATGAAATCCGAAGCGGCTTGTTATTTGCACACGCAATAAGTGGATGCGACACCACCTCATCTTTTTATGGTTTGGGCAAGTTAAAGGTGATTGAAAAGTTAAAGTCATCCGAAGAGACTATGAGTCAGGCCCTGGTGTTTAGTAACAGCGATGTTCCAAAGGAAGAGTTGTTAAATAACGGAGAAAAGTTTGTTCTTGGACTGTATGGAATGGATAGGTTCTCGAGCCTTAATGAAGCTCGATACTTCAAATTCAATCTGATGACGAAAAAAGCTAACTTAAGAACAAATTTTGATCTAGCCAGACTACCCCCGACAACAGAAGCTTGCCAGCAACATATACTGAGAGTGTACCTCCAAGTACAAAGATGGATGGGAAATAAGTTGGTGCCAACTGAATGGGGATGGAAACTGGAATCTGTAAAAGAAAATGGAGAAGAAAAAAAAGTTCTCAAGCCAGTAACCAGTGTGAAGCCACTTGCACCAAACGATATCCTACAAATGGTCTCGTGCTCGTGCAAACAAAATTGTGGGAACTATTGTGGATGCCGTAAGCTTGGCTTGAACTGTTCGTCAATGTGTGAGCATTGTAACGGTCTGAGTTGCCATAATACAGCAAGTATGGAGGAAGAACAAGACGAAGATGAACTATAATTAGGTAATACCTTATCATAAAAAACCTACTTAACAACAACAGCAAAGTAACAACGAAACTTACAACTAAAAAAAGATTGCCTCAACAAAACGAATGTAGATATTAAAGTCTATTACATGTATTATTCACGGGTGGGTGGGTGGTCCGTGATGCTATGAATTCTAACAACTCTTATTATATTTATGTTATTAATTAAGAGTAATTAGGAATTCATAGCTACCGGTTTTTGCCAGTCCGGGACACGGCGGGTCCATAGGTGGTGGATAATGGAAATACCTTTAAAAGGGTTAGGAGCAAGACTCCCCCGAACCAAAACTGGCACAAAGAATATACTCATTATTAATAAGTTTTACTTTAAAATTAAATAATAAACTTACAATGAATTGCCTTCATCTTATGTATTTCTTAATATCAAGAAATAATACAAGTTTAGGATTAAAGCCAACCAATCAATGTTATCTCTGACAGTATTAGTTCAAACCTCATTAATAGATAATTGATTTTGCATAACAAACTCAATTCTGTACTGTACCTTACCCAGGGTGGATAACTTCACTCGCGGTTATAAGGCGGCGCGCGGCACGACGGCTGCGCTGCGTCGTCGAGGCCCAGACTCACGTCTCGTTTTACCGTTCCCCTGCCCATATTTATATCACAATCCTATACTTATTTATATGAAAATGTTCAGAAAGACATTCTCTACAACCTTTAGAGAAGGCGTTTTTCATTTTTCAACTATTTAAAAAACTACGGCAGAAAAACTGAAATATCGGCTTAAAGATTTGCTTATTTTTAGAGTTTATCATTAAATTTTGAAGAAAGTATTGGATTTAACGCAAAAGTGTAAAAGAACTTATTTTAGACAATTTATTTAGGAATATAACGAGCTATAAATGATTACAATCGGATAAACCATACTGGACTTAAGCGTGATTTAGTAAAACCTTGCAATTCCTGACTTTGAGGGGGGGTGGGGGGGAAAGCACCGGGGGGATTTTAGGGGACTTTTGGGAAAATGTACATCTCTATGTGTACTATCCAGTGGTATATAGTTTTGCTTGTCACTAATTTGTTCCGACATAAAACCTTTATTGACTGGGCTATATACTAGTGGCCTGTAGGGGCCATAGCCCCTAATTTAGACTACAATAAAAAAAACCCTATATAAAAAAACAAATATTCTAAATATGTTTCTAAAATTATCAATTTTATGTTACTTAAAAATTAACAGTGTTTCTTGTTTCATATCTTGGTTTTCTTTCCATTGGAGTCGTATATTAGTTGCTTCTAATGTGTCAATGAAATAGCCTACAATTGTAAAATAATGATTAAATCAATAACACAACATATTACAAATGGAAACGTGCACACGGTTGGCCTGAGCTCGGAGAGCGACGAATCAGAGCTGAAATCATACAGCCAAACATTGCACATCTTTTCTAGTTTAAAATTGAAGATTTGTTTTGTAATCTTACGAATTCTGTTATAGTTTCCATTTTGAGAACCAAATGTAAAGGTTAAAATTATTATTAATTATTATGAAGGCAACTCCCCATTTGGCGGTGGTAAGTCAGAAATACAGGAACGGTTGTTGCTCGGGGACTATTCAATATAATTAGACGATTTAAACGTCAAATTGAAGGGAAAAGAATAAAGTTTTTTTCTCATTCTTTCATACAGTTCTGAATGATTTAATAAAATTTAGATTTTCATCAATCTTATATGAGCGTAAAACTGGCAAAGTCCGACGCTTAGGGCGATCGACGGGTTTATCTGATGTCTTAACTGAATATTTTTCGACACAAAGACTATATTTTATAGATAATATCATAAAGTGACAAATTTAGGTGTGTTGAACTGAAGACTTCGTCGGGCAACCGATTTTTTCGGGCCTCTGATGCAGAATTGTCGGATTTCTTCGTCTATGTCATCGATTGTTTTTAGCCGGCCAGGTGAATTTTGTTAAGGAAAATTCAATTTAGCATCATTCAATTTTTCTCAAATACAAAAATAGATTACAATTAAAATAGTTGAAGCAAGCTAATTTAATCGGTGATACAAAATACATTAAAAGCGTATATTTCTTTTTAGTTCTAATCACTGTTTAGGGTTACTTTTTTAATAAACACCATACCCTGTTTAAAATAATTTTAAACATAAAATGATTTTAAAAGGGTAGGCCTACTATGGTATTTATTATTTCACTTGTATATATATGTATGTAATAAAGGCCCTCTCATCTAAGCCGCCCCAGGCCCCCAACGATGACAGTACGCCACTGCAGCGACTGAAGATGCATTATAATTAATGCGAAACGCGTCTCGCAGGAGATAAGTAATTTTGGACACCTAAGGCTACCAAAAAGGTAAAAATAATAATGACGTAATGTTTGCCATTTGTGATCAGCTGCTTGTTTCTTTTCTTGGAAAACAAAAATGTATTTTTTATGGGTTGCAAAGAAATTGTTATCAATTGAAAATAAGTTTCTACTACATTTTAAAAAAAAAAAAGATACACGGATTAGTTCAATAAAGGATTTATGCATATTTAACACATGGGTCTACGTTTATTTACAAAACACTACATTTCAACAACACGGTTTAATTCCTATAAAACTCCTTAAGCTCTTCATACTTTGGAACAAGGATAGTCTTGTCCTTAAGGTTGACAACCCAGCCTGGCTCCAGTCCATAGAAGATCTGTCTCGGGTCTTTACGTTCGGTCAGCATTTGGTAATCAGGATCTTCCTCAATTACAGGCAATTTGTACCCATATTTCTGTGATAGAACAAGCCTCTCCCAAGACACCTGTGAAGAAAACAACTATTAAATCAGTAACAAGCAATCTATTCTATTGCAAAGTTTTAAGACATAATAGTCAATTCATCACCAGGCCTTGGAGTGACTATTTGCCACAAAAGTTTTGCTAATGCCCAGAAAATGAGTGAGTTTTAAAAAGTTGGTTTTGGACCATGTGACTAAGATTTTAGTCATCCCAGAAGCAGCTCTTACTTATAGTAATTTATCAAATTATCATGTAAAAATTGTCTTTACGGCACAAGTATAAATTTAACAGGGAGTCTGGTAGACGGAAAAAACGGAAAATTTGGGAATTAGAGTTTCAAAACGGTCTTGAAAAGTCGGGATTTAGTCTTTATTTTGATATCAAAGAAGTAGCATAAGCCATTTGAGCAGTCGGGAAATAGCGCCCGGCGACCTATATACTCGCCATTCAACCACAAAGAACTTGGTTTTTTTTTGTGAGTATAGGTTGCCATTTTTGAGCAATCAGGAAAATGGCGGGCGGCGACCTATACTCGCCATTCGACCGAAAAGGGTTAATAATACTTTATGACATCAAGACAGGGGTTGGTGTAGTATAACAAAATTATTTTGATAATTTAGTTGAACTAGAAAAATTGGTATTGGTATCAAGAATCAAAAATCGATAGATTTTGGTATGAACACATAACTAACTGTTGAAAAAACTAGTCTTGAAAAATCTGGAATTAGTCTTGAATTTTAAAATAGAAATAAACTAGACACTCTGATTTAAGGCTCTTCAAGCTTTGGGGAGTGCCTTAAAAACTTGTACTACTGTCTAAGGGCTAGTTGCACAAGTTGAGTTGCTTACACTATTTTACTTTTTTTTATTTTGCTTACAACCATGTTTAATTACATTGTAAAACTTCATGACCTATACTCTTTAGTTTTTCAGGGAATAGGCAAAGTAAGCCCCAAATATACCAAAGTACTGTTTCAGGTACAATTAGACAAATAATGTTCAGCAATACTACGTATTTAAATAGTTTATTCGCAAAATTTAAATTAAATCAAACAAGATTAAAATGCCTCTTAAATTATTATGAACAATATTCAATTAATTGCTAGTAGATAATAGATATTCTTGTAACGTATTTTTATTTAGGTGGTAGAAGATTATTACAAACTATTGAGCCCTTACTTCAAATGTAACATTTTTATCAATTTATTTTGTTTTTGTATGCTTGTGAGCTTGAAAAAAATGTGTTTTTCAACCAAATATCCAAAGAGAATTGAATTAACCTTTTCTGGGTCCGCTAGATATCCCCTGGTTGCTGCTCCAGTGTAATACAGGATTGCATCTTGAGGAGGCAACATTCTCCTTGGTATAGCTTCCCCTGAAAAAGAGCAATGTTGTGTCAATAAAACATACCGGGTAAGAATCATATCTAAATCATATTTAAACTGTCCGGAAGTCATTAGTTACTCACACAGCCGCCATTTTGTTTATTTCACATATCAATTATTTCCTAAATAATGGTTAAACGTAGGAAATTGAAACTTTGCACAAACATTTATGACAATTAGACAAAGATACAGAAAAATTTGGACAAAATTTAAAATTCATGAAACAAAATGACGGCCATGTAAATTTTTATTCCTTAAATAACTTAAACACCGTTGGTTTTACAAACATTTTACATGAATAACTTTTTTTAGGCAATTTAAGAAATCGATTGACACCTTATTTATTGATATTGGACGAATATTAACTGAGATATGGCAGCTTTAGTGATACATGACCGTTGAAGGTTAGTTGCAGTGCATGCCGAGGCATACAGCTAAAGTCTGCCCCAACAATACAACAATCACCGTCCTCTTTGCAAGTTATTTTTAAGCGATTTTAGATTATTTTAAACATTACTAAAATATTAGATAACCCCAAAACTGTATTTTTTTTTTACTTTTTACACTCACTTTTAAAGTGTACACTCAGTGTAAAAGGTTAGAGGAACTGACTACATTGAATAATCAATAACACTATAAAAGGTATAAAATTACCTGAGTACTGCTAGAATGATCCTGTTGGTCCTTACGGATTACGCGTTTCGAGGAGCTTAAGTCCTCATCATCAGATCTTGTACAAGAAACACATCTATCACTTCGAAAAGGTCGTCAAAAGTTTAAATATACAACATGGACACATGACGACCTTTTCGAAGTGATAGATGTGTTTCTTGTACAAGATCTGATGATGAGGACTTAAGCTTTTCGAAACGCGTAATCCGTAAGGACCAACAGGATCATTCTGGCAGTACTCAGGTAATTTTATACCTTTTATAGTTTGTTCTATGATCCAGAGACAAAAACAACTCAAAATATGAAACAATAACATCTTCAGTCAACAAATAAATCAGCTGTTTAGTTTGTAAACAAGTACGTTCACTTTCACCACAGCTGATATAAAAGGTTTGGGTCTTTTGTGTGCAATTTTTAAGCCATCCTAAAGGTAGATAATTGATAAAAATACAGTCCGCCACATTAGTCTGGGTGAGCGTACATGGATACAGCTAGCTTTGTGTTAGTAAAAAAATCGGGGGGAAATCGGTCTTTTACATGGATGATACAGACAGCTTTGTGTTAGTAAAAAAATCGGGAAAAATCGGTCTTGTACATGGATACAGACAGCTTTGTGTTAGTAAAAAAATCGGGGGAAATCGGATCCGTCAAAACCGGATCCAGCCCAAGATCCGGAACTGTTTGGATCCGATCGGGTGCCGGTTCTAGCTCGGATCTGGCAGATCCGGTAGTCCGATATCCGGATCCGACCATCACTACTCTTAGTAGATTAAATTGTGAAAAGTCAGTTTGAATTTTGATGTAAAGGACATTGGCATTGGCTGCTGATTTAGCGGTCATACCTTTCTGAAAGAATTTGATAGGGTTCCTGAGTGCCCATAGGCTGTGGACGTCAAAGTACGCTGTTGTTATGACTCCTCCGTTACGCTCCACAGCTGCTATCACAGGTTCTCTCGCCCATTGAACTTCAATGTTGACTTTGGCTCGGAATTTGTCTGCACCCTTTGAACAAGATAGTGTAGCTATCAACAAATATTCAGACTAAACATTTGAACGAGTTACTTATTTTTGCACTCATTTCAACTACTGTATGTAATTTAATTTAAATGCACCTGAGAAAAAAACAAATAATTGAGAGTTTTACAAACACTAATAGTTAAATTCTACTGTTACTTGTGATCATAGTGCTCACAAAAAAATTTTAAATTAAAGAATAGGCTGATAAAAAGCATATATACTGTTATATTTATTGGCCTATTGCCAATTTCTGTATAACAAAACTCTTAGCCTAATCAAAATAACGGATAAAAGAAATGCCTTAAATATCAAAAACCGCTGTGCATCATAGTGCGATTTTAACAAGGAAGAAAAATTGGAGAGACCTAATGTGGGGTGATTATAACTGCTGTGAACAATACGTGAGGATTGATTTAAGGACAATGATCTTAAATTAAAACACTTCGGTTATGGTTTGCCAAATAAAGTAAACGAAAATAACGCAGACAATGAGACTGACTGAGTGCAGACTGACTTTGTTGAATGCCGTAAACACACCACAGATAAGCATCTCTTCAATGTCTTAAAGGCAGGGCTGCACATGCGGCATTCGCCAAGCACCAAATGTATGACAACTGGCAAGATACTTATGTTGATATTTGCCAATTTCCAAACATAAGTATCCACAGTAGTGACATTTTCTTCAAAGTCTTATCAATAACATTTTTCCAAGACGTATTAGGAAACAACAAGCATTGTCATTTGGTGAGTAACAAGAAGACAAAGATCGATCCTCTTTCATTTGTATTTTGGCAAATAGCCAATCAGCTAACACGGCATGTGCACCGGCCTTTAGAGAAGGACCTCGGACCATCAGAAAAATGCAGAATCAGAGAATGACAAGTAGTAATACAACCTTTATAAAAAGTTGTCTAAATAAGTTACAGAGGGAGGTGGAATATGTCTCAATAACATTCAGAGGGAGGTGGAATTATGGTACATTGGTATTATAAGGAGGCCACCCTTATACAGTGGGCTGTGGCGATTATGTTAGGTTGGGTTTTAATAAATAGAAAGTATGACTCATCTGGTATCGTTTGATTCATAACAAAATGAGGAACGTCCTACAACCATATTTATGATAAACCCAACCTAACATAACCGCCGCAGCGCGCTGTAAAATAAGTGGCCTCCGTATAATGCCGTAGTAACAGAATTACTTGTCTAATAAGTATCAGAGAGGGTTGTACATATATAGCAACGAAATTATAACCACACACAAAATTATTGCAATATAAATTAACGGTGCCAGCAATCTGACACATACTTCCTCCCATTAGCTTGTCAACAAACTTTATGATGAGTACCGGTAAGCAATTGGAAGTAACTACTTAAGATATTTATAGGGGAAATCACAAAATTTGCAATAGCTTTTGCTTTTGAACCGTAATGTTTACAGCAATGGGGGGTTACACTATTTTGTAAATGAATTATTAGAGCCTTAAGAGACAAATTTCAATCAGAGCCTGCTTTAATTTCTGCAGGAATGGGAATTATACCATTTTGTTCAGAATTTAAAGACCTATGTCCTATAGAGTAACATAGGCCTACTAAATTTTTTCCCCTACAAATCGTTTGGCCCATTTTCAAGAAAATTAGATTTTTCTGTTTATTATATGGGTTTTTACATGGTACCAAATTTCATCAAATTTGGACTATAGGTGTTGTCTGTAGCTCTGGACACATCCACATACACACATCACTTCGAAAACCACTTTTTGGGGTTTAGGGGGGACCCAAAACGGATTTATCCACTCGAAACTTAAACTCCAAAATTATAACGAAAACAATACTTTCTCCACACCTATAAACTATGTAGGCCTATACGTGGACAAATTAAAAGCTTACCTCATCCGTCAGGTGGATGCCATACTCCATCATATCAGGAGTAATGTCATACAATCCAGTGTTGCAAATGGCCGCCAAATCAATAGGCTTTGATATGTCAAGACGATCCGTATCAATCATCATTTGGAGCATATTCAGAGAGACAGGAGGATATTGTCTCCTTAGACTGAAATAAAATCATAAATTATTTTTAAGTTAAGCTGGTACTCTAAGAACTTGTCCATTCAAAATAGAAAAGTTTTGCATCATAGGCCTACATCAGTTCAAAAGTCCAAAAAAATATTCAATTTGTTTTATTGTGACTCAGTTTCCAGAAACATTTATTGGACATACGAGCAGGCCAAAAGACAGAAATTTGATATAGCCTAGGGCCTGGTATTTTTATATCTAAATGTTATCAACCAAATATTTTTTACGCCAAACTATTCTTCAGTGATCAACACTTCTTTAAATGATTTGTTTCTGTGTCTGTTAAATGATCTTCTGTTTTTAAAAGCGGGTTTTGAATTCACTAATCAGCATTTTTTTTCACAGGGGCAAAATTATTTCCTTTTCTACCTATTTTAAATCTGGGGAACAATTAATTAGTTTAATTGACATGTTTAAAAAACCTGAAAACCACTTGTATACTTTGGTTTCATTTAGGACAGCATTCAATCAATTTTAAAAGCCTTCGAATGATTTCCGTGGTCGATTTCCTAAACAGATAATAAAATAGCATACGGTACCAATACCGGTAGCCACTTGTAGCTCTCTACAATGTATAATTTCAGTTTTGCTAAAATAACAATATAGTTGTTTAGGCTAACTACAAAAACTAAACAGCAACACAACGTTTCACACATACTTAAGTTGTGCAGTCAAAAATAGGTTCCCTAACTATCTTTTCCTCTAGTAGTCCAATTTCTGTTACCATTGGGTTCTGTCTCATATTTGCATAGACCAAGACTATCAAAGATCTCCAATATTCAATAGGGAGGAGGGGGGTTCAAAATAGATTTATATTTGCACACTTACTGATGATTTTGGTAGTACGGTTCATTTGGAAATCTCTTGTAAAATGGATTGCTGCCGGTTTCATATCCCAAGCGCATGTAATTCTGCCTCTGGCCTGAACCCTTGTTGCCAGAGCCATGTTTATCTCCTCTATGTTGACCTCTTCCTCTCTTATGAACCTAAGGCAGCATTTACTTACAAATAAATACTTACATCATAAACAGTTATGATGACTAAATCATCAAGAAAAATATCTTCATTCTGTATTAACTTAAGTTAGGCCTAACTTATTTTGTCTCTGATTATACTGGGGACTCTTAAGATTTAATTTCCCTTGTTAAAGAAATGCGCCTTGCTACATAATAAAGGGTCAAAGGCTGAGTTGGCAGCACAACAGTCTGAGAAAACCAGGCACCAATGTGGTTTCAAGATCTGGTGCCCCAAAGTGAAACGGATGATGAGCGCAGTTCATTCTTCAACTATCCTCCCTTAATGATGGCCTAAACTCTCTTCCCTTGCTTTGCATCATTACTTACCATTGATGACCATGATGACGTACTGTAATGGACAGGAAATTCCAAGTTTTAGAGGCTGAAATCTCTTTTCTAAGAAGGAAAATGCCAGTTGTATTGACTCATCATAGCCTAAGTCATAAGTTGGAATTTTAATCTGAGAAAATGTAATAATAGTTAGTGTCGAATTTGGGTGGGAGAAACTGAATAGGCCAATAATTATGTTACTTGAACCAAGGATCCAGTAGGTACCTGCCATAATATGTGAAAACTAGACCCATCTTAGGCTACTTAAGTTACCCCAAAATGAAATAAACAGAGAGATATTGACTAAAGAAGGGTGGGCTTAAAAAAATTTAGGCTCATGGTCCAAGCACGTCAACCGAAGCTAACTTAATTGTGCATCCCACTTGCCACTAACTGGGTAAGCCTATGCCTATGTCCTTGACTAAGTGCAAATTGTTCCATACTAGCCTAAGCAATTTAGTTAACTTAAAAGCCAAAAATCTAACATAAGCCTAAATTAGTTCTCTCCCACAAGTAACTTAAACGTACGGTACTCTAACTTATTACTTCAAGAAAAATCTAACATAATGTTGATGAGAAATCTAAGCAGGGTCCAAGGTTGGTTGTAGCTCAATTTGACATACCTACACTGTCAAAGAGAAGTTGGCTGACTCTGGTTTAAAACTGTCATACTACGCAATAGCCCGTAATCCTTTCACACTGACTAAGAAGGAATTCCCCATAAAAGTTAGCTTTGCCATTACTTTAAGTTAAATAAGGTGGACAGATGTTGCACGACAACACAGACTGTACGCAACCTAATTTCCCTACATGGCTCTTATGGACAGTGTGCAATCTAGTAGTTGTTATATGACGATGAGTAAGCCTTAGTCCTTTCAAAGAAGGGTTAACACTACCATTTACCACGTAGGCATAGTCCTCGCCACAATCTTCGGATCGGGGAGTCGTCAGATTTCTTCCCTCTTGGAGGGGTCCTGAAGAAGTTGCTCATTTGAGGTGTTGGTATCTGTGCTGTTCTATGTAATCTGTGGTTATATAATATGGCCTGTTTATTAAGTATTCTTTGAGTTTTTTTGTGAAGCTGTTGATTGTGGTTGTTGATTTTATATGTTCTGGTAATAAATTATAATAATATGTACCTACCTGAATTGATGGGTGTATTGCTGGTTTTTTGTAGTCGGTGTTGCTTGTGTTAATGATTGGTGCGAACCTGGCAATAACTCCAGCAATAAGTAGGTAGTGTGCACACCTTATAAAATCTATTGCTGGCCGTTTTGCGGGAAAATACGGCCGCGTACCATATTACCCATGATGTCACCAGACAGTGGACACTGTAATGGACACGACAGTATCAATATCATGTACCTGGGGGATAAGTTAGGGGGGGTAAAGTCAGCAAAAAGTCGAAAAAATCAATTGCTGGCCGTTTAGCGGAAAAATCCGGCTGCGTACCTTATTACCGATAGTGTCAACAGATAGAGGACACTTTATTGGACACGACAGTATCAATATCATCTAAGTTACCTGGGGGATAAGTTAGGGGGGGTAAAGTCAGCAATAAGTAGTGAGCGCGCTTCATAAAATCTATTGCTGGACGTTTTGCGGGCGCGCACACTACTATTGCTGGAGTTATTGCCAGGTTCACACAAGTGTGTTAATTTTGTGTTTGTTTCGGGTGTTGTAGGTGTGTATGTTTGATTGTGGGGTGAGGGATGATTTTTTGGCAAGGAGTATTGTGTCAAATATAGGCCTACAGGCCTATTGGGAGGTTATTGTTAGGATTTTGAGTTTAATGAAGAGGACTAAGTTAATACATTAATAATTACAACTAGCCTAAACAACCATATTTTAGACAAAGTAACTTAGGGCCCTAGTGCCTACAGTAACCTAACTTACTTTAAAATTCTGTAATATAACAATTTACCTTAAAATTGAACTGCAGAACCTTTGGAAGGTTACCCAGAGAAAGCCTGGGAAGAGATCTCATCATTGCTAGAGCAATTTCAGACCCCAATTTCGGAGTAGAGCCCATTTCGATTCGAGGGTTAGGGATAGGCCTAGGCTGTTTGTCACGTAACAAATAGTTACATTTACTTGTTAAATGCAAGCAATATGAAAATACAAAGTCACTAATAATCTATGGATATTATGGGGTCGACAACGAAAAAAGGCAAAGATAGAAAAAGTTATTATATAAGTTTAGGCCTCTTCTCTTGCCTCACATACACATAACAGACATAACCTCCTAAGTCCTAACTCCTAACCAAACCCACCAAAACCAGGGAGTCCACAGGGACCGACTTAAGGCCGAGGTACAAATGAGGCAACGATGACATCATAGTTTAGTTCAAAATTCATCCGTTAACAGCGTTGTAGTAGAGAGCACAACGCGTAATTTACTTCACTATTAGGACTAGTTAATTATAAAATAAGAAAAATTATAAAAATTATTCTTAACATTTTTCAATTACTAAATGAAACTGTCATAACTTAACCAAACTAACCAAACGTGCTGATAATGAAAATATCGAATGAAGGTTTACTAATATAAATATAGTTTTGTTTATAAAATAAAATTATAAATGCCTAAAAATTCAATTTTATAATTTTTTTCCTACAGTTACCTAACAATGTACATGTTCTCTCACTGATTTGAGAAAGCAAAGTGGCCAATTCGCTCATCAGTGAGACAATGTTAACATTGTCTCACTCTAATTATTTTGTCTCGCTCCAGATTTGCAACGTGAAGGCACGAAATAGTGAGCACGTAACATGCAGGCAACGTCGTATGCGCGCGAAATACGTTGGCAGCACTGGCTGTAAATCAGCTGGTCAGCTGTTGTACTGTTGTATTTGTCACTTCCACTTCACATTAAATGTTATATTAAAAGTTCACTTCTGTGTTAAAATAGGTTATGTTTCTTCACCAATCTATTTGTTTTATGGTAACTGTAGGAAAAGTATAATGTGCACCTCGAGTTCAAAGTACAATTGCCTCACTCGAGAAACCATTCCTCACTCGCCTGCGGCTCGTGAGTAAGGGTTTCTCTCGAGTGAGTCAATTGCTCACTTTTCTCACTAGTTGCACAAATAAAATAACTATTATTATAAAATTAAACTGTCATAACCTAACCAAACCAACCAAACTTGCTGATATGAAAAATTTGTTGACAAAAAGTTAGTGCTGCCAGCGGGCTTCGAACCCGGCACCTTCAGATTATCAGCCCGACAAGCTAACCATCACACCGCCAAAGGCGATGACTGAATTATGAATTTCGTATCGTTGCGGTAATGGTGTTCCCACAAGAGGAGATCTGACAGCTGACGTCATCGAAGGCTCTTCTGTACCTCCCTTGAGTAAATACCTGGTTGGGTCGATGTTCGATGTTGTTTTGTTGTTGTTGTTGGAGTTGGAGAGTTGGAGTCACAGTGAGTCAGTCGCTGATGAGTGATGAGTACTGCGTTGTTGGTTGTTGTCGTTGTCGCTGACGAAATTAATTAATTACAGGCTAGTTGTGTTGTTTAGAAGTGTAATGAGTGAGCATTTAATCCCTTCCTTTTCCATCTTTTGTATGAACCTATGAAACATATATTTTCGAAAGACATAATAAATACAACAAACTCAATTATTTGAGCTCTAACATTATGGCTGTTGTTAGAATCAAACGACGATTCCAAGAAGAACCTATTGATACCATTCTACTAGCATGCAAGAGAAGGAAAACTGACGATGATGAAAATCTAACAACCATTTTTAAGTTTACTGCTACAGTTGCTGATCAGGTAAAAATTTGTTTATAGATTTTGCAGAGGATACGCGTCCGGTAACCGGCAGTACTGTCATAACCTAACCTAACCAAACAAACTTGCTGATAATGAAATAATTTAATATCCTAAAGGTTTTGGATTCTGTTCATAAAATAAAATTATAAATGGCAAACAATTTGAACAAAAGATAACTTATGTAGTTATGAAGAAATGGCATTCAAAGTAAAATCTTTGACATAAAGTTAAAAGTTAGGGCCTACCGATGATGTCATTTGTAGTACCAGAGACCTCTTTCATATCAGCCGAGCACTCTATCCACTACACCACAAACACCTATGACTGTACATTGTATCGTTGTGGTAATGGCGTTCCGGGCCCCCACAACCCAGTGACCGTCACTGCCGGGCGCCTGATCCACATACGGTTACCGGACGCATATCCTCTGTGTTAAATTTTTGGTCGCAAATAAGTTGTTGATTGGCAGGTGGTCCAGTGATAATGACACAATCTATCCGAGAATCATAGGTCAAAGATCCAAGGAAGTAAGATAGACCTAGGCCTAAGTTAATACCAGGCCGGTTTTTTACACTGTCACCGCCCTAATTAATGGTAGTGCCCCTTTGGAATATAACAGGGTGTCCACGACCGACCGGGAATTCCGGGGGTAAACAGACCATTTTATTATGTAATTTCTAAATGGTGAAATAATTATAAATTATCGATAAGATTAAAATAGTCGTAAAAATAATAAATTAGATCAAATGTGTTTACTTAAGTTATTGATCTTAAAAAGTAAAAAATGAAATCAGGTGATTTTCAAATTGCCGAAACAGAGTTACCGGTAGCTAATAAAGCTGTCACTTCCATTTGCGCTTGACTATGATTAAAACAATCAGCTTTTGGCTTGTACTTCAACTTCACCCACTTGTAGTTATCCGTCCTACCTTCTTTATTATAATGTTGTATATTTTTATGGTGATATCTTGAGAAATATTTATCAGCGGTGGAAAATAATGGTATATTTTAAATTCAGGAGGTAAAAAACTATAAAGTAAGACATCAAAATTACAAATTCGTTTGGAGGCACAGATCCATAGGCCTATATAACTCCCAAATTACCCATGAACTTTTGAGAAAACCACAAGTCTCACCCTCCTAAACCATCCTACTTTAAATATTCGTCATGATGAGAAACCTTGTGCAAAACTATCCATTATTTCATAACTTGCCCTTTAAGGTCATACAGTAACTTACTTCCTTTCTAAAGGGAGCTTTCCATATATAGGTAGCCTACCTACCTAATGTTAAAAATAGCCTCAGCTGTAGGCCTACTTATTTGTATGTTATTCTTTCAATTTATTACCTTATTAAAATCAGGTGTAATTATTTGTTAAAGTATTACTGTATTTTTTTTTTTTTTTTTTTTTTTTTTTTCAGAGCTTAACTTAACCAATCAGTTGATTTATTAATGCTTATGAAGTCAAACGGTGTGAAGCTGGTGGGTAACAGCTAGTAGGCCTACTAAATAATTACCAACCCGGGAATTATGTGTGTGTGTTTTCGAACCCAAGAATTAATTTAATGTGTGAAAGTCTTAAGTTATGGTGATCTCCACACGGCCGCGAGGGATGATCAGAATTTCACTGCGATTGCACAAGACATCGCATGTGGATAATGTCCACGCATCCACGGAAAAAGATCAGAATTTTGCCTCATTTCTGGTAGACAATGATAATCTCCCCACAACCGCAGGGTATGTTAATGTATTGCCGTAATCATGGAAGACAATAATTAGGCCTAACTTAAATGTCTATCTGACCGCGGGAAATTAGTCAGAATTTGGCTGCTATCGTGGGAGACGATTATGATGTCTACACGTGAGAGACTAATCAGAAGTTTAACTTACCGCGATCGCATGCATATACAACCACAAATTTGTTTTTTAATTTGTTGGTGCTCTCCCATAAAAGCCAATTGCTTTGCATACACACTGAGAGTGGTGACTGGAACCGCAAAAATTTGCAGATCCTTGGTCTGCCGCTCTGGATTTGCGGTCGACGCAACTATTTGGTTATAAAACCAAAGCTATGGTTTATAATTAGATCGTTTTATTTTGCTAGACTAAGTTATTATTGAAATAACTGAAATAATAATAATAAATAAATAAATACCTTTATTTATCACTGAGCATCCAATTACAATTGCCTGTCGGCGCCGTTTCCTGTAATAGTGCCTCCTTGGATTATTACCTAAGTGTTTATCAGTAGGCTACATTTGCTTTTCAGAACATTTTTTGTCAATACCTAACAATAATTAAACTAACAAATAAATAGCCTAAATAGAACGATACAAAAACAAGAAACAGGAACGACAATAGCGACACTACACAGAACTAACATTTTTGTGGTAATAAGGGAGCTATAGAGGCCAATTAATCTATGGTGTAGCCTACTTAATTTGAACAATTTCCTGCACATATTCATAGCAGCTGGACTTTGTACTTTAAAGCACAGAAAACATACTACTATAACCCATAATGCCAACCCCACGGTAAAAAGCTTTAAGTACTTTGAGAGAGCTTTGCCTGTCAGTTTGTAGGCAGCGCCACCAGCGTTGCAATGCACTCAGCATAGTCGCAACGCTGGTGGCACTGCCTACGAATTGACAGGCAAACCTCTAACGCTTTTTACCATGCCGTTTGGCATTCTGGGTTATAGTAGTATGTTTTCTGTGTTTAAAGTCATTAAAAAGGAAGAGGTAAATTGGCATTATTTTTACTAGCTATTACCATAGACTAAGCAACACAAGTAGACTTCTCATCCCATTATAAATTTTGAAGCTTGTTTTTTGTGTCTAGTTCATGTACGTTCACACTGATCGCTGGGGTAGACAAACTTTTGTTTCTATTATTTTAGTGTTATTTTCATGATTTGTGCTTTATTATTTGGTTATATAACTAGGAGACCAGTTATTGTTTATGATTAAATCGTCTTATTTGGTTAAATGAGGTTTTAAATGACTGAAATAACAAGAAACAAATTGTAAACAAAACATAACCTCTACAGTTGGACGTACTGAACTAACAATAAAATTGGCTTCAGCTGTTCCATAAGGATGACAAATCTACTAAGGGAGTATGATTTATCTATGCTATTACCCACGGGCTTCACCCCGTTTGACTTCATAAGTATTAATAAAACTATTGATTGGTTAAGTTAACCTGAAAAACAAAATACAGTAAAACAAACAAATAATCACACCTGATTTTAATAAGGTACAGCTGAGGTATTTTTAACATTCGGTAGGCCTATGGAAAGTTCCCTTTGGAAAGGAATTACGACCTTAAAGCTCAATTTATGAAATAATGGATAGTTTTGCGCAAGGTTTCTCGTCATGACGAACATTTTAAGTATATACCGAACTAATGGGGGTGTGATTTGTAGTTTTCTCAAAAGTTCATGGGTACTTTTGGTTTTATACATAGATTTATTTATTTAACTAAAACCGTAATAACCAATACAGTAAAATATAATTAGCAATATGGCACATGTGTACAAGATAGCTTGTGATAGAGATAAAGTTCCAATTGTGTTGTACCTTATGGTATGATTTTTTTAAATTTAATTAGTAGACCTAAACCTACTATTAACAACTGACCCTACAGGGGGAAAGGGAGGTTTACTATGTGTCACCTGTAACTTAATGTCCTTTACTTTTGATCCATTCTTGTGATGTTAAAAATTAAATGGCTTTTAACAGTTATCGCATAGGCCTAACAAAATGTTTTCCGATTCTTGTGAGCAGTGAATAAGTTATTGTAGGTCTAAAAGAATTCTAGTTTGGTTAATGAATAGATCCTACGACACCTTAATTTCTTGACCCATTAGTTGTTAATTAATATTAGACCTATTGTTTCGAGAAGTTTGAACATTTTAATGATAAAGATCTTTATGATAAGGTTAAGAGATTAAATAAGGAATTCAGAAAGAAAATTATACATGCCAAAAGACAGTTTCACGCTAAAAAGGTTAGTAATGCTGAAAATGTATGTAAAGCTACTTGGAAATTACTTAATGCTGAAATCTCAAATAAGAAAAAGAATGTTAGCAATATTGAAATAGATTTTGATGGAATCTTGTACAGAGACCCTAAAGAGATAAGTTGTATTTTTAATGACTTTTTTAATAGCTATGTTAATTCATCAATTATTCCTCAGCTAGCTCAAAATGATAGTTTGCATGGGGGTGAGACGTGTCCAAGCTTTCAGTGTCCTCCAACGGCTAAATTTAAATTGAATGCTGTATGTGATAATGATATATTAAGTATTCTAAACTCTTTCAATAATAAACTATCAACTGGTTACGATGAAATACCTATGACAGTATTAAAATATGCTGGCAAACAATTGGTCAAACCACTTGTTCATATAATAAATTCCTCTTTCTTGAGTGGAATTTTCCCTGAAAAATTAAAAGTTGCCAAAGTTAGTCCTCTCTATAAAAATGGAGATCCAAAAAATATAACAAATTATCGACCATTATCTTTACTGTCATCATTTTCTAAATTATATGAAAAAGTTGTTTATAACCAATTAGTAACTTATCTAGAAGAAAACCATTTGCATGATGATGAACAACATGGATTCAGACCAGGTAGATCTTTTATAATTGCAGCAGTGGATTTTATCGATTCAATAATAAACTCAGTGGATAAAGGGGATAAAACAGTGGGCATATTTTTGGACCTGACTAAGGCCTTTGACAGTGTCTCACACCAGCTTCTTTTGGGGAAGATCCGAGATTTGGGTGCCGACAGCAGGTCATTGAAGTGGTTTCGATCGAATTTACTCAGAGATCTCAGTATGTTGAAATGAAGCAATTAAAAAATAACGTTTTTTCAACCTCCTGCTCAAAGTTATCTTATTAAACATGGGGTCCCACAGGGTTCGATTTTAGGACCTGTTTTATTTCTTTGTTACATCAAAGGAATGCCCGGGTCATTTCAAAACAATATAT